ATCCTTTAATACGAGAAAAGTCATTTCCTTTTCGTCTAATTAGCAAAGCCGTAAAGTTCAGCTTTTTTACTTGTTGCATTTTTTTCACAGCTTGAACTCACAGGGTGTGGAGGATTGAGAGGGGGATGAAAGTGCAATTGGGGAAAAAAGAATGTGGGAGACCGTTCTAAGCAGCCACATCACAGCTGTGCTTTGAAAAAAGGAGACGGGGTCTCGGAGTACTGAACACAAAGCCCTGTGCGGTGAGAGTAAGGGGGGTATGGGGCAAGTCAGGGTGGCTTACTAAACTTTCTTTTTGCTCACTCATCAACAGAAAGCCAGAGGAAGTGGGAAAGACTGCGGGATGGGGGTCAGTACATTAAATACCACAGCTCTATTGTACTTCATTCTTCCTGCGCTTTGCAAATCTTGTGTGGTACTGGCTGGAAATAAAGGTTGCAGCTAATTCAATATTGTTGAAAATGTCAAGGTAATGTTACAGTTTAAACAGTTGGCTAAAGCTAGGCCTTTAGTTTGGACCATAAAAGTCAAAACCTACTCAAAAAAATTGGAAAAAAAACAACAATGCTAATTTTTGCTAGCACCCTCTATGGGATTTCTAATAATAGTAATATGATGGGGTCAAGCTAACGGTGGTGCACATGACTAGTTTTGGCATCAACATTTGATGCTTGTACAAGTTTATAACATGAATTAACATTAACTGTAAAAGTTATATAATGTATTCTGCAGTGTATGTTGCAGTTTTACAGTAACTCTTAAAGAGCCAGGGCATACAGCTGCTGCTGTTTACTATTTATAATTTGAAATCTGGAACTAAAATCTGATTAGAATGAAATCTGTTGCATTATTAAAAAAATAATTCACTCTTAAAGAAACAGCTTAGTAATTTGCAGTTTAAAAGATCAAAAGTGAATCCGCAGGTCGTTAAAAAAACGTTTAGCAGACTGAAGATTCTCCACAAGGGGGTGCTATTGGCACTCGTTTCTGTTGTGCGCATCACTGAAAGAGCGGAAACCCTCTCTTGGGTGGTGGATCATTCTCAGCACTGCAGTAACACTGATGTGGTAGTGGTGTGTTAGTGTGTGTTGTGCTGGTCTGAGTGGATCAGACACAGCAGTGCTGCTGGAGTTTTTAAACACCTCAGTGTCACTGCTGGACTGAGAATAGTCCATTAACCAACAGCATCCTGTGGGCAGAGTCCTGTGACCACTGATGAAGGACTAGAGGATGATCAACACAAACTGTGCAGCAGCAGATGAGCTATCGTCTCTGACTTTACATCTACAAGGTGGACTGACAAGGTAGGAGTGTCTAATAGAGTGGACAGTGAGTGGACACAATGTTTAAAAACTCCAGCAGCACTGCTGTGTCTGATCGACTTGTACCAGCACAACACACACTAACACACCACCACCACATCAGTGTTACTGCAGTGCTGAGAATGATCCACCACCCAAATAGTACCTGCTCTGTGAGGGTCCATGGGGGTCCTGACCACTGAAGAACAGAGTAAAAGGGGGCTAACAAAGTATGCAGAGAAACAGATGGACTACAGTCTGTAATTGAAGAACTACAAAGTGCATCTATATAGTAAGTGGAGCTGATAAAATGGACAATGAGTGTAGAAACAAGTAATGTTATGATTGGTGTATTCCGAAATACATTTTAGTGTTTGGAATGTATTTTAAATGCATTTTAAATATATAAAAATACATGTCTGTTTTCTTTTAATTCCACAAGGGTACAACGCCCTGCATGTACCTCTCCACCATGAATAGATGTTAGAATGTTTAGGTGACTGAGGTGATTATGGTACTATCATACTTTATAGATGAGTATCATACTAAATAGGTTATCTACTACTACTACTACTACTACTACTACTACTACTACTACTACTACTACTATCTCTAACTCTTCAGACGTCTGGTTCCTATCACCACCACTGTGAACAGTTCTTACTCAGTAAGTTTCTCTACAATGGAGCATTTCACATCAAACTGCTCTGAATGACTTTGTTTACACATTAACCGTTGAATTATGCAGAACTTTTGAGCAATCAGCAGAATTCCCCTTTAAGCACGTAACAGCTTACTCGATCAACCGGTATCAGCATTAGTGTCGGGATACCAAGCAATACCTTTGCTCTGTACCGGATCAACAATATCAGTGGTATCGCCCATCCCTCCTTCCAGATCTTCCAGCATCTGGGATCCTTTGCTGTATGTATCTCACACAGCATGAAAAGTTCAAATCCTGACTTCACTGGACACCTAATTTCTCAGAAATGCCACTCCACTCTATGTCCAAAAAGTCAGGACTGAAAAAGGGTCAGTTACTGGAGTCTAAGCTTTCCAGGTTCTATCTGAATCCTGGAATCTTGACCATTGAGGTTAGGCTGGGCACAGCAGGGCCTTGTGTGCATGAAAAGGTCGTCCTAGTTCAGCCGCCCTGTAGAGGGAGGGTTACATCAGGTCTGAAAAATGCTCAGCTCAGCCACCGCAACACTAATTACAGAGACGCTCTGCTGAGGTCAACAGGAAGGACGTCAAAGCCTTAGCTTGAGTTGGAAGCGAGCAAGGACAATACGGAGCACGGCTAGAACTCCAGTGTAAACAAAAAGAACAAAATGGAAAAGAACATGGAGACAGGAAGTGCAGGTTCTGCTTTATACTTCCTTCTTTATCAAAGAACAACATTAGTCTGCCAAGTGATACATTAAAAGTCTACTAAACCCATAACCACTTCAGGCATCAGCTGTGAAAACCATGGGCACAGCAGATTTGACTGGCCAGATTATATAGGAAGACCTCAAGGCTGAGACTGCATTCACACTCAGTTTTAAGGTCTGCTGCCTGGAGTCATTAGAATGCTGGTAAATGCTACGAAATCCTAAAGCTAACAGTAATGAAAGACGGTCAGTTAGCATTGTGGACATGAATCCTGCTCGTTGTCATTAGCCTCTGCATCGTCTTCTGTGAAATTACAGTAATTTACAGTAGATTACAGTACGGTTCAAAAGTTTGGAATCACTTATTAGCAATTGCTGTTATTTTCCCACACACTTAAAAAAAGACGGTTCTTCAAGGGTTTGTAGTGAAGAAAATGGTTCTATATAGAACCATGAACACAAAGAACCATTAGCATGATTAAAGGGTTCTTTGCATGGTGAGATGGTTCCTCAGACTGATGAACGTGTTTTATGTGGTTCTATATAGCACCAAAAAAGGTTCTTCTATTGTTACAGGCTTGACATCAGAAAAGTGGAAGTACACGTTTTGGTGCTATATAGAAACCCTTTTCAAAGAAGTTCTATATAGAACCATCTACAGCACAATCTCCATCAATCTGAAGAACAATTTCACCATGCAAAGAACCTTTAATCATGCAACGTGTACTTTGAGTGTTCATGGATCTGTATAGAACCGTCTACAACATATTCTCCATCAATCTAAAGAACCGTCTTACCATGCAAAGTACCCCTTAATCAGGCAAAGCGTTCTTAGAGTCGTCCTGGTTCTATATAGAACCATCTACAGCACATTCTCCATCAATCTGAACAACCATCTCACCATGCAAAGAACCCTTAATTCATGCAAAGGGTTCTGAGTTTTAATGGTTCTATACAGAACCATTTTCTTTACTAAAGAACCCAAGAAGAACCACCATTTTTAAGTGTTTAGTAATACATTGCAAAGCATACACTGAAACACTAGCTGTTTCAAAGCTGGCTACCAGAAAGTACTCAAATTTCAATACAGCAAAAATAAGTCGTGGCTAAAAATGTTAATACATTAGTTTCCTTTATTAGTTTATTAGAGCATTTAACATTTTTAAAGTACAATATTTAAAACAAAAGCTTTACAGTGTCATGATGTAATGCTGTAGCCACAAGCTGTTAGGTTAGCTCCAAGCTAGCACACTATCACAAGCTAACATGCAAGCCATAATACAGCATTTTCGACGATTTCATTTTATACATTTTCCAATATACAATACTATTTGTAATGTGGCTTGGCTGCATACTTGGTTATTATTTACTGAGAGAGGTGCATCTCTCAAGAACTGCATGTCAAAAGCTTCATGAATTGGGTTTTCCCAGCTGAGCAGCTGCACACAAGCCTAAGCTCACTACGCGCAATGCCAAATGTCAGCTGGAGTGGTGTAAAGCATGCAGCCACTGGACTGTGCACCAGTGGAAATGGGCTCCTTGGAGTAATGAATCATGCTTCACTATTTGGCAGTTTACCTACTGGGATGCAGAGTGCCAGCAGTAAAATCTGGTGTGGGAGGGATTATGTAATCATTTTTCAATCGTCTACAGCTTCTTCCATATTTGGCAAAATTTGGCAAACACCATTTTAAAATGCCTCTCCAACTCCAAGTCATGCACAAAGTATGCTCAATCAGTGAATACCAACATCATGACCTATTAACCCATATATGGCACTGTGCAGAAGTCAGTCACCTAAGGAAACTGTTTCAAACCATTTATCTGAGAAAGTGTGTTTGTGTGTGAAACATCATACAACATAGGGATAATTCACTCATGCTGAACGCTTCTTGTTTTAAAAAAAAACAAAAAAAAACGTAATTTACATCTTCCGAGCCAATTTGAACAAATATTTAGTTCAAGGTTTGTCCTTGCAAATCCACCACCAGCACACCTGATTTAATATTATGAAGTATTGGCTGGCCAAACCAGAGATTTGATGATAGCAACAAATACTGGGATTCCTCAAGCTGTTGAACACACTAACACATAAAAACTTTACTTCTTTTATTATTTCTATTTATTCTAATATTAGTTTTATTACCCAGATAAATACATTTTGAAATAACTTTCTCCAAACCTTGTTTCACATTACTGAAAAACACTACGCAAGAAACCATATTTTTGTTCTTAAATGTTTTATTTGTACATTCAGCACTTACAGAAGTAGACAAAAAATAAAAATGGCTTTTATTCTAAAAATGATCAAATGTGTAAAATTAAACTTAAAAAAATCAAATGTGAGGAGGCTAAATATCCATCCCTTTCTCCATGCTGGGACAATGGTGAAAGGATAGCCAAAGGGGCATGAGACAACACAGAGACCAAGAACAGGGGACAGGAATGTTCCAGAAGATGAAGTAGATCTGGATGACGCTCTTCTCCTTGATCTTCATTCTTTAGTCTACTCTGAAGGAGGGAATGGAGAACCTCTCAACAAATGGAAAGGACAAAGAGACTGAAGCATAGTGTTTTATGCATCAAACTTTAAAGTACGTGTGCAATCCAGGATCAGCTCCCTCCGGTCCATGAGTCTGTAATTTGAAGGTATGAACGGCAGTTTGATCCTAGATAAGCACTGTGAACCTAAAAGGTCTGACACATATGGGCAGAGAGCCCTTCAACTGCGGTCAAAGCACCAGCAGTGACGTCATGTAGTTTAAAAGCCCTGTTCCCTACATGTTTGGGGAAGTAAACAAGAAGGAAATTCATGGCAACCCCACTTACATCAATAGTCTCATAATACTGAAAGGGAAATACTGGAGTCATCTCAGTTCCCAGGTAGAAGACACCAAGACAGCTGTCTATATGGAGACACAAAGTCCTGACTGTGTTTGGTGGGAGACAGACAGAAAGTGATGTCCTCAGGCTTTTACAGTACGCACAGGAAGAGTGCGTACGGGTCAGTCAGCTCCAGATTGCCCCGTGTGGACATCAGCGCCGTTTGTCTCTGGGTGGGGGGTCACTACGGCTGCGAGACCGCCTGCTCCCGCCGGCACCGCCTGCCCCAGGCCTGCGATACGCGTCTCTCCGTTTGTCTCCCTCTCGATCCCTGCCTCTTTCTCGCTCTCTGTCCCTGTCCCGCTCTCTCTCACCCTCCCCTCCCCCACTGCCACTCTTTAACCTGTCCCTACGCTCCTCCTCTCGTTTCTTATCCTCCTCCTGCTGGAGCTCCTTCCTCCTTTTCTCTCGCTCCCTCATCCTCTCGGCTCGTGCCGCTTCCCTTTGTGCTGCCTGCAGGAAAGAAAAAAGAAGGGAAGGGAATTTTATTTTTGGTGACGGGGATTCCCACAACTTGACTCTTCACTTGACCTGTGCAGCGGCCAGAGCCATTTGTTAACACCATGTTAACAGCCAATGCTAGGGATGAAAAAGGAAGGATATTTTATATAATTTTTGACACGGAACAAATTTCAGTAGTTTCAAATTATTCGAAGCAACACTCACAGTAGGCAACCATTCACATAAACAGCTGGACATTTGGAATTTCATCCCTGTCCAAAGGAAAAAAAAGTATTCCCAAATTGGAAACTTCACACAATCTTTACTGTAAATGCAAGTTAATGTAAAAGATTTTAATCCAAGCAATTTTGGACTAGTTTTATTAGTCCAATCGTGAAAATTTCAGACAACGTAAGGGACATCACCTGTGATGTATATCATCATATATGACCAAAAGTTTTTGGACAACTCTTCATCCAGAGCTTCTTCCAAAATCAAGAGAATTAGCCATTTGTCCCTCCTTTGCTGCAGTAACAGCCTCTACTCCTCTGGGAAGACTTTACACTAGATGTTGGAAGATTGCTCTAAGGATTTGACTGCATTCAGCCACAAGATCATTAGTGAGGTCAGTTACTGATGTTGGATGATTAGTTCTGGATCATAAACAACTCTTCAACTCATCCTGGAGGCACTGGATGGAGCTCCATCACCCCGAAGAGCAAAGTTTCACTGTTCCACAGCCCAATGCTGGAGGGTTTTATACCCCTCTAGCCGACTCTTGGCAGAGGGCCCGGTGATCTTAGGCTCATGTTTGGCTGTTGCAGAGCATCCTGTTCTATTGGTCTGTGCTTTTCAATGGAGACTATACAGCAGTGAGTGCACCTTAATGCAGCTGACTTCACTTAAAAGGAGTGTCCACAAACTTTTGGACATATAGTGTACATGTTTTGCTTTGGACAGTGACAATATACATACATACACCTTAGAGTGTAAAATTATGTCTTTAACAGGTTTAAAATAAACTTCAGTTAAACCTGAGACACAGCACCATCTAGTGGCAGATGTGTGACACAGCAATTGGGTTAAGTTTCAACCACGAACGTGCTTTGAACTGCAGCTTCCAAGGACACAGTAGTGGAGTTTAGGAACCCATATGATTTATTCAGGTTTAAACGTGGGTTAAACTCTTAACAGCAGCTAAGCTAATGACTGTAATTGCTCCATATGGTCTGAGTGTGTTATTTGCATGTATTTTGCCCAACCCAATTAATGAAAACGCACCCAATTCACATTCTTTTGGTTAGCATTTAAACATACTAAGTCACCTTAAATTATCATAAACAGATGATTATGTAATAACTGTTTGGCTTAAGTGTGACACAGTGTGAAACAGTAAGGGAGACATCTGACCTGTTCTTCCGTGAGCGGGAGCCAGTAAATACAAGGAGTTGTTTTGGTTTTGCAAAACAGGTCATCTAACAATTTTGCAGGTGGCTCTTCTGGTGCTTTCTCTGAATATGAAAAAAAAGAAATGATTAAAATTATATAGCTGTAAATTGAAAATATTTAATTATAAACCGTAACTACTTTGAATTTGCTTACCCTTCTTGTCAGCCTTCTTTTCTTTACTCTTTCCTCTCTCCTTGCGCTTCCTCTCTCTGTCCCTGGACCGGGATCGTCGGGCGCCCCCTTCATCTCCAGGTTTCCCGAAATCCCGGACCTTATCTCGATCCCATTCTCGCTCGGCACCAGCCCTCTCCCTCCTCTCCATCTCTCGCTCGCGCTCAGCCCACAGTTCCCGCTCTTGGTGGAGAAGAGGCGGTGGGCCAGCAGGACGGAGACCATGACCAGCTACGGCTCCTCTCTCCTCCTCTGCCGACCGCTCTCCTGTTTGCAGACCTCTGTGAAAGTCCAACTACATAGAAGCGAATGCAACCAGGGAGGAAGAAAGAGAGACTCAGAGCATGATATATATAGAATGACAAAACTTACAGAGCACTAAAGTGAGCCATCGACCCTAGACTAAACATTTTCACCACAAAAACCCCACTAGCTACGTTTCCATCGACTTCATGTAAACTGTTAGGGCTGCAACTATCAGACATTTTAATTTTTTACTCTTCTATAAGAAAAATAAGATGTTTCACTTTAATGACACAATGGACAAAAAACATCTTATCGTTATTTATTATTGCTGCAGCTGTTATGTATTATTAATTATCTTTCTTCTAAAACTGCTGTAATTTTCCAATTTTCTTTTCTAATGAAACTTACTACTAAGTAACAGAAAAGCCATCACAATAATTGGCACAGCACACAGACCAAAATGCTATTCTGGGGGGATCTGGTGGCCCTGATCAGGCTGAGATGGTTTAAAGGTGTCAATGATGAGAGCAGAGGAAACAGCACCTTTTTAACACACACACGGTCTTAAAAAAAAAACAAAAAACAAAAAAAAACAAACAAACTTTTTTTTGGTCACTATAAGAGCTTTATTTCTACTGTGTCAGTCTTATGTCCGGCACCCGGTGCAGTCTCAATTCTTTCTTTTTGCTCTGGGTGGACGGCTCGCTCTTAAGCTTTTGTTTATTCTCAGAAATAAATGCAGCAAAGAGCAGCTAGCGAGCAATGCAAAGAACTAAGACAAGCATGCGGATCGGTCAACTAGTAGCTTTTTTCGTTTTCAAATATTTTAATTATGGAATTTATCAAACTGTACTGAATATTTGTTGCAGTCTGAGGAAACTGCAAGTGTCAAAATGTAAGTAAAAAACACCATATATGCTTTATATAGCTTCCCCTAACCAACGTCACATTTAGTAACAAATGTTCTTTATATAAAAGACATTCCTGCAAAAAAAAAAAACTGTCGTCATTAATTTTGGTTTATCAATACAAAAAGTTGTTTGATGTATTTCCATTTCATGTGTGTTGCAATTTGTGTACTTTTGCCTTCACTGACGTCTCCATAATTTACTAATAAGGAAATCTGTCACGTCACACCAAATTAAGGTTCTTTTTCCCCAAAAGCAAATCAAAGTGGTTTCTGCAACATTTCAGTTATCGATAAACAATTTATCTACTTATTTACATAGCCAACAGCAACAAACTTTTTAAAGCTTTAAAATATTTTTCATTAAAAAAAAAAAGTTAGGATGAAATGACAACGTAATCTACGTCTAGTTTCTTAAGGACAAGTACTACATGTTCCAAACATTCATGTTCACAAGACGGTGGGTTACCTAATGGACTGGCAGTAGATTTAGAGTAAAGTCAGATTAGGCAATGTATCTGATACTCACCTCATCCTGTTGGCAGAAGTCTACACTGAGGAACTTTGGATTGCTCTGGGGCCATTTCACCCCATGCAGGGCCGCACGAGTGGCCTGTGCCTCTTCTGCACTGGAGTACTAAGATACAGAGAGAGCGTGTTACAAACAGCAAAAAAGACACTTAAAAAAATTTAAATAAAAGAAAGAAAAAGTGTAGTTTATGATTACTTTCCTCCAGCACATTCTACTCATAAAATACCAAAACAACCATGTAAAGAGCTGAGTAAATATGCAAGGAAAGCCTTACTGTGACATAGCAGTGAGATTTTATTTTGTCGATCCAGAAGCCCTCTTCTACTATGGTGCCTGTGCGGTTCAGCAGCTCCTTCAGCTGCCCCAGGGTGAACGGTCTCACCTGAGAAACAAATGTGAGTAGAAAATTACATTTTTTGGAATCTTTTTGTGGAAACAAGATGTTGAATTCATTGGACTAGAGACCATTCACTCCACAGTGATATTAAATCACAAATTACTGTGATAAGAACAATAAGGTAGGCTGTATTTACCATCACAGTCATGCCGTACACAAAGAGTAGGGAACTGAGGACCAGAGTCCAGCACAGTCGGCTCAATTCCTTGCTCCACAACAGTACGAACTCTGGCAATTAACTGCAGAGTTGAATAAGGTGTGTGTGAACAATAAAAAACACCCAGCTGTGCAGGAATCCAGCTCCAGACTGGAATTCACCCATCACACTCATTGACCCAGTTTATATAACTAATATCTCACCTGAAATAGCAGAAGACCACTTGTCACAAAGACAACAAATCAGTAGCCTAGATTAACCTGCCTGTGGTGAGGTTTCAGCCAGGTTTGTTTCCCTTGCTCTCAACACAACTGATGCAATTAATGAAACAATTAAAAGATCTTTCTGAGGTGAAGTGGGCGTGTTAGAGCCGGAAAACACCACAACACGCAGAACAGTTGTATTCCAACACCAGGACTGAGAACCACAGAGTTATGCAGCACCATCCACAAATCTTTATGTTGCTAACAAATGCCAAAAGTCAACAGTCATCCAAATCTTTTCTCAACTTTCAACTCAAACCATCTTTTCTCAACTTTCAACTCAAACCATATCCAGGTCTACATTAAAGTCGTGCAGACCTAATGACAAGGTTTAGGGTACATAATGACTTATTGTGATCTACTTAAATGATAAAAACCATTTGGAAAAGCAGAAACACTAGTGTCCCATTCTTCTTATATTCAATAATCAAACTAGATAAAACTAAAACACCAACATGCCTCTTGGATATAAAACAGAACCTTATGCACTGGGGACACACATGCCTCTCAGGAGACCAACAATTTGATAAATAGCCTTGAAGGCTGGCTAAAGAATATTTACCAGGTTGCAGACGTGAACAATGTTGGAGACTTTGCCACGGGGAGGAGAAGGCTGCTTAGTAGTACGGACTGGGTCATCAATGGTGATGCTCACGCCTGATTTTTGCTGGCTGATAGAGCGACGAAACAGGGTCTCACTGGTAGTTACTGTGTGAAGATCAGGAAGGGGTAGAGAAACACAAACAATCAAAGAAGGTTATTGGCCTAAAGGGTTATTTCGTTCCAACTCCCAACTACAGCCTAAGAACAAGAACCCCTCTATTGATCCCAAGGCCAAAGGCACACACCTTACATACACTGCCATTTTGTTCTGTCACACAAACTCCACGTATTATGAAACTAAAAGAGTAGGGTCCATGTCTCAGAGCTGTTTTTGCTGGCACACACACGACCAACAGCATTTGAGGATGCCGGTCATATTGTTTTGAACATATGGAAGGTGTCATAGCAACACAGTGCATATTTTTATTTAAGGCATCTATTTCTACTTATTTTATGGTGTTATTGATATATTTTGATGTAGTCTAGCTTTCCTAGCAGAGTTGGGAACGTTTTTTCAAACGCCCAAAATACTTAATGTTGTGACCGTCATAAGCGTTCATAACCAAACATAAACTAACATGAATTTGAAATGAAATGCCGCGAATATTCTACAATATATTAGTAGTTTAAAATAAAAAGCGTTTCCTACACTTCTCACCAGTCTTTATATCCACATGTTGCCGAGGTAAAGATGGCTCTGTCTCCATGGAAGCCTCCAATTTGTTTTCCAGCGAGAGGCCATCTTTTCCTTCTCCATCCTCCTCTTCCTCCTCATGCTCAGTGGGTTTGGATTCCTTCTGTCCATTCTCTTGAGTCTCAGAAGGTACAACCTGGTCAAAAAACATTTACAATAGATTAATCTAACATGCCTGTTTCAACAACCCAGTTTTTACTCTTCTGAAAGCTATTAACAGTGATTTCAGACAGCCCACTGGTCCAGTGATCCATTCAGCAATGACAAGGGTTTGAACTTGAACATGTATTTGATTCTGCATAGACCAACCCCCCCCCCTCAAAAAAAAATAAAAAAAAACAATGCAATTTACCCACATTGTAACCCCCTGATAAACAGATAAAATATAAACTTACTTCTTCCACTTTTAATGGTTTATCATATACTACGTAAAAAAGTATGATGAACTAAAAGGGGCCATCGAACATATTTGTGAAGCATATTTAATACACGTTTTGCTCATTCCCATCAAACTCTTCTTGCCTACCTTTATGGAACTGTTACATAGGCTCTTGTTCCTGACCATAATTTGGTGTGTATCTTTTATCACAAATAAAAACAGTGCCACATCAAACAAGAACTGGAACAATCTTATATGATTAATACTGTATATGGTAAAGGCTCTGTATGCCCGTTTTCCATCTCAAACCAACAAAGCAGAAGACACACCTGCGTAACAGTTCGCCTGATCTTCAGATCCTGGTCTCCTCTTTCTCCTCTGTCCTCTTCCCCAGAAAGATGCATCTCCTCTGGGTGCAGATCCAGCACAGCTTCTTGAGCCAGACCTGACCTGATATCTGGAATCAATGACTAGAAAAAAAAGGAGTTACTAAAGTGCAGCTAAATAAGTAATACATAAAAATTAGGTTCAAAACAATGAAATCTTCCTTTAAGGGAGAAGAACACTTGCTGCTTACTTTCAGAGAGTCTGTGGTGATGCTGATGGAGGGTTTCTTGGCAGTGACAGTAGTGCTTGAGCCCCATCTCCTTTTCCTGCCTACTACTGTGGCAGTTCCAGCAGCAGTCTCTGTCTCCCCCTCGGAGCTCCCTGCGCCAGGTGAAGGTTTACTGCCTGAGAGATGTAAAAGGCAAAGCTTGAGGATGTGCCATTTTTTAAGAACATCCTGCATGATTACATTAAGTACAATATAACTGACCTAATGCATATGATTAGGTTCATGCGTTACTTTTCAAGGGTGATATCAGGTTGTGTGTTCAACATTAAGCGATGGCCTGACAAAGAAAGATCAAGCTTATGAATTCATTTATCCCATATGCAGTACATAAACTAAGACTGGTCTTTTTAGTCTGAAACATTATACAGTATCATCACTAACTGCTCAGAGATATGTGCACGTAACTGACAAAGTAGGTCACTGAAGAAAACACATTTCATAAGCATAAAAAAAAACATCCTTAAAAATGTGACAGGCAAATGGTCATGAAGGCCAATCCATCATATTTAATAATAACACACACCTTAATAAAAAACATATATCAACCCTGAAAGGCATGTTATCACACCTGCTTTAAAAAAAACAAAAAACAAAAATCTAACTGTCGCATCAAATTGTGTGTGTGGATTGGGTCTGTCCCATGTGTTTTATTTTGTGTTGAACTTTCCACACTGGCTTGGCAATTTTTTCCATTGTTGACAAAGAACTGGCAATTAGAATTTGCATGACAGTGAAGTTTGACTGGGCTGCGAGCTAGGAGATTCTTCACCGCAGTAGGGAGTCTGACTGGGCCGCGAGCCGGGATATTCCTCATGGCAGAAGCAGTTTTACTGGTCCAGGAGCCAGGAGATTCTTCACCGCAGTAGCGGAGTTTGACTTGGCTGTGAAGAGGGTGACTAAAGACGGCAGCTGGGAGTTTTGCACCCTGCCAGCTGAGAAACCGTATGATTTGTAGTGTTGTTGGAATGTTAAGTACCCTTGAGTTTCAGAAATGGCCTATATTAGTGTTATTTCTTCAGTTGCTACAGAGCATCAAACCACATGTCAATCATGGAATATCTACTAAAATATGTAATTTAATCCATCTGTATTGTATTTTTTCACAATTACCTTAATTAATAAAGTAGGTCACACCAGCGACTTCAACTAAAAGCTTCATATGAAATAATGAGCTAAATTTGAAATTTTCTGATAACTGAAAAGACACAGTGGATTTACCATGTGCTTTTCTTCATAGATTTTCAGAAAACAGGTAAAAGGAAGTCATGAGTGTTATTTTTATTTCAAAATGAGAGATTTTTGTTATGCAGTAACACCAGTGACACGACTCCTGGGGACTTTTATATTTTATATTTTTACTTAGATTTTTTCATATTTATTGGCATTTGTTTTCTTTATGTCATTTAAATAACATTTCACAATCATGTATAGATTATTGCAGTTAAAATTGCAGAAATTGTTTTGTTTTTTTTTACATCAAAATATGGCACTCACCTTTTACATGTCTTGATTTGAAAACCAATATCGCTAAATTGATGGCTCAAGAAGGTGTAATTGTTAAAATAATGTAGTTTTATTTTAAAATATAAAACTATTGTAACCCTAACGTGTTTAAGTGTAATATATCTGTAAACACTAGGGACACAAAAACAGACGTTTCTATAGAATGACTCAGCTGCGTTTAATATCGGCAGCTCAGATTTTACAACAAAAACTCCATCCATGAGGGAATGAAGTGGACTTTAATCTAACTAGACCAAATGATACGGACAAAACAAAGGAGGCATTTGCTTTCACAATGGCTAAAGAAATCAAACATCTTGGAGAGAATAATATAAGGATACTCACTGCTCAAAGAGATCCTACGGGCTGAAAACGCCTTTGGGGTGGTGCTCTGCAAAAAAAGACAAAATAAACACACCCCAGCCAAGGGAGAAAGGTGAGATGAGTTGAACAGAGAAACCTCGGATAAACACAGAAGTACAAAACGAGTAGGAAAGGTAAAGTAAAAGAATTTGCTTAAAAGCAGAACCTAGAACACCGCATTAGTGATAGAGATACCTTTACAAAAGAACTAAGACTATTCTGAAGATGTGGTCTGTCCACATCTTTCATAAAGGCTGTCTTGCAGTTATATTCCATACATTCATATAAGCAAGACTTGCTTCCTTCAATCATGTGACATTCATCTAAATAAATATCAAGTGACAGCAAGTTCAGACAGCTTGACATCACTTGATATTTCAGCAAAGAGTCTTGACAAGAAATTCTGCATTGTGTAATGAAAAAAAAAAGTTAAAATAGAAAACTGAGAGGAACTACTTATTTCCCGGCACCACTGACACCTGTTCTTCACTGGGATGACTATGGCTCAATCACACGTCTGCCTGTACTGTATTTAGGCAACAACAGTTCAATCAAGGATGGCTGAAGTTTGGGTGGTAATCTGTCATCTGGGCTGGTGGAGGAGCTCTTATGTAGATCAGAGAGTGTGGTGGAGAACTGGAGGCTTTAGGGTAGTAGAGTCCTTGTTTGACATATTGTATGAATCATTTTCAGCAGAAGCTCTGATGTGGGGTGAAGTTGCAGCAGCTGAGGATCTCCATCCTTGACTAGAATTGCTTCTGAGACGGCCACTGCTAAGCATGTTGCAGTCTTTAGGGAGTGCGAGGTGACACTTCAGCAGCTAATACGGTCTCTTTTTGGACCAGGCTGGTTGAATGCGACCACTACAGTCCACATCAGTTTGGAACAAAGAACTATCCAAAATTGTTCACTGTTGAGAGTCCAGATATTATAACTGTGCTTCAGTGACAAAATGTCCGGAGCGTCCTTGTCAAAGAGGCAGGCATCAGACTTTTGTATTGTCATACCAGGCAAAAAAAACTTAATCAGGTAAGAAATTAATATAAGTTCCAAGTTTGGTGTCAGAAAGCATGACGAGTGTCTCAAAGATGTCTTGAAGGCATGACAAGTGTCCATTCATATGCTACCTTTTTGTGAAAAACACAGCTTTGTGTGCCTTGTAAGCAGAGGAAGTGTTCAATGGCATGGCACAGTACAGCATGGCCGAGGCATTCAAAAGTCCAAGCCATGTCCATTGGAACGTGGAGACTGTTGCGTGGTGTGTTTCACTGCAGTGCAGAGTCATGGGGCCTATCAGGTATAGCCATGGCACTTGGGAATAGTGGAACAGATGCAGTAGTAGTAGAATGCAGGTACCATTACGGGCAATGGAAGAGGCATGATCACCTTTACAACAAAGCAATCAAGGGGGTTTAAACATCAGCCAGTGTTAGAGTGCCCCCTGCTGTTTCTGTCAAGGACAGCATCAGCAAAGGTTCATACAACAGCACAGTTAACTGAGACAATGTCTCGTAAAGCAAAGAGCTCAAAGTTGCCTGGGTGAACTAAAAAGAAGCATTTTGCTAAAAAAATTAAAAACTCTCTGTGATAGTCTATGTTAGAAAAGATGACATGCTACAGTGAAAATGGAAAACAGATGGCTCAAAATGCTGACACAAAAACAGTCAGAAAGACTTATTATTATCTAAATTTAGGTTAAGATGAAGGAAAGACAGCACAGTAACTGAATGGAAAGGACTTCCCTTCTCTTCAAACTGATTTCAGAAAGAAAAACAGTTAGGTGGTAGAGCTGAGTAACCTTCGACTTCTTACCTCCTCAGTGCCCTCGGGAACCTTCTCAGGCTCTGCCATCGCTGCCTCTTTCACAACACTACTGCTAAAAAGAGAATAAAAGAAAACAGGGAAGGAAATTCAACAAATATTGATCAATATATTAGAGTTAAAAAGAAAACTAATTATTTGTTAGCACTGGGGCAATGCATGTGGTGTGTGTGTGTGTGTATATATATATATATATATACACACACATATACACACACACACACACACACACACACACACAAGTAAGGGATTAATGTCAGAGCTTGTGGCTTAACCCTAATGTCTTAATTCCCGGATATGAATCAAGTTTATACTCTTTGCAAAAAGGGTTCTAAACAGTACTGAAAAAAGGGTTTTTTGATGCATAATAGTGGAATCTTTTTGGTGCTATATAGAACCAATGTCATTACTAAAGAACCTTTAAAGAACCATTTTTTAAAGAGTGCAGTGTAGGACTGAACTGCAGTGTCAATGGCAAATGACCACACTAGAGTTTTTTTTTCTTAGTCTAAGCTTAATCTGGGTCTTGGAAATGGCCCTTAATTTATCACGGCTTATAAACAGTCAGTACCATTCTTGACCATGAAAGCATCGATTCCACCAATTTTTCAGAATTTCCATATTCAATTATTAAGATGCAAAGGATGTCATTTAAAATATTTTCATATGAAAAGCTTCACTCTGTAGAAACACACTGAGCCACAACTGTTCACAGAGGTGGCCTTCAAATACTACCACACTGGAAGCTATTAACATGAAACGGTTGCAAATACGCTGTTAGATGCCTGAGAACTCTGACAAAGTTTTGACTTTGACCATTTTTTTTTTTGCGGAGAGGTATGTTCAGGGCATCGTAAGGCAAAATAGTTCAAGATTTTTTTGGACACTATTTTCTGAGTTTAAAAGTTACATATAAAAACTCAGCAGACATGAAGGCTCACTGGTTAGTTTCTAGAAAAATGGCAACGCTTGCATTGTGGTTAAAATGAACACCATCACTTAGAAATCTGAACCAGCAAGTTTTTCCACAATGTAACATTTCACATCAAAATCACTCTGAATGATTCAACTTATGCAGAATTTAGAAAAATCAGTGGAACGTCCCTTTAGGAAAATGAACAACAAATTGGGAGAAAGCAACTACGGACATCCTCCACATACTGACCAGCTCCGTCTTTTTTTTTTCTCCTCATTGTACACACACACACACAATATCTATCTATCTATCTATCTATCTATCTATCTATCTATCTATCTATCTAACTATACACACACACGAGAGAAAGAGAATGAGGAGTTCTGGAAACCACGATAAAGCACTTCAGCAAGACAACCTGCCACACTACGTCACCCGCTTTCACTCTTCATTCACAAAATGAAAGCGGCAGGACTGACTGAACGCGCGTTCACGCACGAGGCTGAGATTGGTTTCTTAGAATTTTCCGTTCCACCTTAAATGGCGCCGCAGCTCCATTCTGCGCGGCTCCCGGGCTCAGCGTGCGGCTGCTTTTAAGGTGGACCTGAAAATCCGGTTAAAAAGCTGCCGAACAGGAACAGCAACTCCAGGTTTATCGTTCCGGCGTCGTTCTCTCTCATCACCTTTCACGCCGCCGGTGCAGCTGAAAGAAGCGCTGCGATGAAACGGGACGCTGACGGCATCTCTGACCAAGAGACGCTGCGAGTCAGACAAACAGAAACGAAACGGAGAAGCCCGGATCCGCACAGACGCTGGAAACGACGCACGTTTTGCTCCGCTTATCGCTCCTCGGCGGCTTCTATCAGCGTTCAGCCTCACAGAGCGGCACAGCCCGCGACCACACGCCTCTCCTCACACCACTAAGGGCGGAGTGAGGAGCAGCTCTTACGGCCCCCTCAGCCCCTCACCCAGCGCCACTCCGGCTGAACGGCACACGCAGCACAGCCATGTTTGATAAAGGGGAGGATGCGGTAGGACCCTGAACTCCCAGGACGGTCCTACTGACTGCCTGTTGGGAATTCGAGCAGACCTTCGGCCACACACTGCTCCAAAACCCACGGAGAGCCTCACCACCACAGGCTGATCAACCACTCTAGAGCAAATTCTGTTAGCATACTCTAAAAAACATGGTTCTTTAGTGAAGGGAAAGTCTCTACTTGGAACCATGAGTTCTATATAGAACCATTTCACACCTAAATGGTTCCTTGCATGGAGAAATGGTTCTTAAAAATGATGGAGAATGAGCTGCATTTGGCTCTATATGGAACCTTTTTGAAAATGGTTTTATATAGCACCAAAAAAGGGTTCTTCTATTGTTACAAGCTTGACACTGTAAATACAGAAGAACGCTTTTGCTGCTAGACAGAACTATTTTCCAAAAAGTTCTATACAGAACCAAATATGACATTCTCCATCAATCTGAGGAACCATTTAAGCATGAAATGGTTCTGTATAGAACTCATGGTTCTAGAAGGAACCATCTTTTCTGAGAGTATAGGGGAGCAAGCGCTTCATCACCGTCAAGCCACATTTATTACAGCATGAGCATCTCATAGAATGAAGGAAGTACTAAACCAGACAAACCAGGATGAAACTTGTATTCTATTACCTGCCTACAAACATCTTAGGCCAGTTTTCGTTATCATGGCAGTCGAATACAGGCATAGATGCTGTGGGGACAAACCGATCATTATTTTTATTAGCCCTTTTTTTCACCTCGAAGCTCTGTGAGCTAAATGAACACACACAATATATCTTTGCTCTTTAATGAGTGGCACTTAAAATTCTTAACAAAAACAGGTTGTCTAGGTAAATCCTACATGTTACAGCTAGTTCTGACCTGGCCATGTGATTGGCTGAAAGGCATTCTAAGAGCACCAATAGAGCTGAACAGTGACCTTTTTCAGTGGCTCTGGTTCCAGAAGTAAAAAAATCCCATTTGTTTTCTCCACACTCGTTTAGAAAAAAGCCTTATATTAACGCACTCAGCCACACCAACCAGCTACGAGACGACTCACGATGCTATAAAAATAAACCTGAGCAAACAAATTAGAAAAACAACCAAAAGTGCAAAAGTACAAGACTGAGTGCGCAACGCTTTTCAGGTCTCAATGAACTACACGTCCCACAAAACGTGGCGAATGATTTCAACCAATCACTTTTCCTCCATTTCCTGTCAACTTTTGCAACTTGCACATATTACTCTATAAAATATGAATCCTTCTATGGCCCATCTTATTACTTTACTCACTCAAGTACCCCCAGGAGACAAATATAATTACTGAAAGGGCCTAAAAGGGTGGGGAAAGTTTGATGCCGCATTAATATATGAAGAAAAGAGGATTTTTATTCTTTGGCACATAACGAACATAATGTTATCTGTTTATAGGTTTTACTTTGTATGAGCGTGTGTCAACTGTCTCAAAATCTAATAAGAGAAATGAATAAATCTAACCATAAAAATAAATATTTCATATAACCAGTGGTATAATGACAATAATACATTTGAAACTGTGCCAATGTCTCACAGTATAGCACTCGCTCTAGCATAACACAGTGAAAATATGGATTCAAATTAAGTGCTTCACTGGAAGAAAGAGGCAACTGGCTGGTTAGCATAATAAGTCATGCATAATTACGCTAAAACATTATCCCTATCTACCCGGTTTTTCAGGTGTCTTGAGAAAAAAAAAAAAAGGTTTATATTTGGATAGAGATTATTCACATATAAATGCAGGTGCAAATGTATAAAACAACCATTTAAAGCAGATTTAAATCTGATCGCTCAAACTACTTTAGAAGGTGGTCCGATAGCCAGTTTAAATGCATTTGTCTCTCCAAGCCACATGACAGCCTCCCAATCTGTGACGCCTCTGCCCTCTGCTGTTCTGGATCATTTTTGGACAACAATTTTGAGGCAACACCAACAACTGGCTATTGTACATGAGCTGATTTGTTTTTTTCATGCGACATACTGATTTCAGTCTGACTAACCGGAGATACATCTAGCTGCAAGGTGTGATGCTTGTGATGAAAAATCTTACCAGTTTACAATACAGACATTAGTCACATCAAACAACCAGGTGACTAATATAAGACAGCAGGCAGTCAACCTGTTTTTTAAACAAAAACAATCTGCCGATTCTGAATGTGCATCGCTACTATGCTGCTTTGTGAATAGTAACTTTTCACCTCACAGATCTAAAGTTATTTCATGACAAAGCAGACATAAATGGCAACATTCATGAGAATGATTGAGTATAGCACTCACTGAAACCTGTATTGATGTGTATGTGCAGCTATGTTCGACCTAATTGTTTAGCACAATTTTATGTGCAGCCACAAAACAACTATGTAATGTGAATTTGAAAAGGTGCTGGAATGATGTTAAGGGTTTGGAGATCTTTGGATTACAATGAATCTTTTGTTGCATTGTGTCTTGGCAGTATAAAGAATTGTTTTGCAACACAGACCTTTCAGCATCTGTTTTAGCAGCATCCTCCTCTTCAGAGTCTTCTTTTCTCTCACTTAATTCCTTCTTTTCATCCAGTACCTTGAGGCGAGGCTTCTGGGGGGGAGAGAGTGGGCAGGGAGTACAATTAGTCATGGATGAATAACTTAAGACATGAATAAAGTTAAGTTATGATTCAGTTTTTAAAAAACACATCAACATACACTAACACAATTGTGTATAAAAGATGTCTTAAGTAGACAAAAGTACTTTTTCCCTTGTTTTATTTTGGCCAGATTAGCACAGGATGCTACACACAGGATGTTTCGTTGTTGGCATTTCATTTTAGCTTAAATGCTAAGATGAAACATTTTTTACGTTCTGCATTTTAATAGAAACATACAATACTCCAATCGTGTGTTATTCTTGGTCTTTTTGGCAGAATTTTGGCTGAAAATGATCCAAAGTGCCACTTCCGGTTTTCAGCCAAAACAGAGAAAAATGACCCGAAAGATTAAACATGACCACAACAAAGAGTCAGAATGTAACACTTCACAAACAATGATGAATAACTAATAAAGGAAAACTAGAACAGTCATGAGAAATGCTGTTTGTTCTCTCTGCTTTCCTGCACTGTCTCGGTTTCGACCAGGAAATTTTCATTCTGGTGCATCACTAGATACTACTCCATAAGAATGTTTAAAAAAATAAATAAATAAAATAACTGTGATTTAACAACTCAAAAACTTCAGTGGAAAACTTATTGCTGCCGCTGCTTCAGAATTTTATGAAATGTCATGAAGCTGCAATTACAAAACGCAGAAGGCTTTTAATTCGAAACAAACATGAGCAGAAATACTAAAATGTGTGTGTTAATAATTGTTGAATAATTCCTGCAATTTTTCCTCCAATCCATGTGGGCGACAGTACTGTAATTCTAACAAAATGTTGGTTGAAGGTGGTGTACTGCAGGGTGAACCAAAGGCACCTAAATAGCATGATGACAGAATGTATAGATTACTAAGAAACGCAAATACAAGCAGTACAGTGCTCCCCACAAACACTGGCACCCCAGTAAACATGGTTAAAACAGGCTGTATAAAACATTCATTATTGCTTATCCTTTTGAACTTTTCTTCAAAATAAATAAATAAAATTCTAATACATTTCTTTCCAAAATTGTGTGCGCCACAACTATTGTCACTCTTGAAATTCTTATAAACCAAAGTGAAATATGTTCTCATTTTTAAGTTCACCCAAGAGATTAGGAAAACATAAATGGTCAGCCATGACTTCCTGTTTCCCTGGGGTATAAATATGAGGTGACACACATGCATAATTTTCTTAGTCATCCTTCACTATGAGAGATACCAGAGAATGTAGAAAAGCATGAGAAAGACCAGAGAGCGTGTGAAAGCATGAGAAAGACCAGAGAACATAAATGCTGAGCTGTACAAATCAGGAAAAGGCTACAAGAAATTACCTAAAACAGTTAAAATTGCCTATTTCCATTACCAGAGCAACAATTAAGAAGTTTAAAACAGCTGTCGATGTTAAGAATCTGCCGAGAACAGGACGTAAGACTATATATACGCTGACCCCACGCACAGAGAAGAGGATGGTTCGAGTGGACAAAGAATCTCCAAGAATTACAGCTGGGGAATTGCAGACATTAGTTAGGTCACAACTTGTTTGGGAGGGTAGCCAGAAGAAGCCTCTGCTGTCAAGCACTGACAAACTTAAGCGCCTACAGTTTGCCAGATGCTACTGGAACTTTCAGTGGGACTGTGCTCTACAGTCAGAAGAGACCAAAACAAAGCTTTCTAGCAAAAAACACCAGAGGTGGGTCTGGCTAGACACAAAGATTATACAGATAAGTACCACATCCCCACTGCGAAGTAAGGTAGCAGATCTATGATACCATTTTCCTTCCAAAGGCCCTGGACAACTAGTTCAGATACATGGTATCACAGACTCCATCAAGTACCAGCAGATATTAAACCAAAACCTGACTGCCTCAGCCAGGAAGCGTAAACTGGGCAGTGGTTGGATCTTCCAGAAGGACAGTGATCCAAAGCATGCCTTAAAATCAACACACACATGGCTCACTGACCACAGAATCAAGGTTTTTCCCCTTACCCAAACCCCACAGAAAACCTGTGGGATGGGCTGAACAGGAGAGTCCAGAAGAGTGGACCTTAAATATAAACAATCTGGAAAGATTTGGTGTAGAGAAATGATCTCAGATCACGTCATGTGTTCTCCAGTCTCACTAAGCATTATAGGAAAAGACTCTTGAAAAAGGATGTTGTTTTGCAAAGGGAGGCTGCTCAAAGTATTAACTGAAGGAGGGCGAACAATTGTAGGATACACAGATTTCAAGTATTTCTGATAAAGGTTGGATATTTGTCAATATTTTGAACGAAATATCAAAAGGAATTTTTAGAGCTTGTGTTGCTCATGTTTACCAGGGATGCCAATATTTGTGGAGGGGACGGTTGCAATATGGTGGAGACCGCGCCTCTGAGATACTCTAGAAATGTGAAGCCGACACTAACCTTGCTTGGAATGATGTCCTCGCTGTTCGCTTCTTTTTCCTGCGTGGAGCCATATTTTCTGTTTTGTGGCGTGACTGGTTTGTTGGTGACACTCACACTTTGATCAACATTTTCTTTCTCCTGAATCAAGGAATCTCTCTTCGTCTTTTCTGACTGAAAGGGAAAGAAAGAAATGTTTAAAACACACAGTCCTATCTGACAAGAGCAGCTAAGATGATGATGTTGATAAAGCATGAAGAATGATGCTGATGCTATTGGACTGATGCCACCACCCCAAAATAATTGTTTGCATGACACCCCGTCACCAAGAACTGGTGGTGAACTATATGCCTTAGCTCCATCACCCCAACATACACTCTAAGAAAAAAAGGTATGAAACTGTCACTGGGGCGGTACATCTCAGCACCTCAGCCAGGGGTGACAGTGGCAAGGAAAAACTCCCTCAGAGCTGAGGAAGAAACCTTGGGAGGAACCAAGGCTCACATGGGGGGACCCATCCTCCTCTGGTCAAACTACGTACAAAATTATTATTCTACTAATATTAATAGTAGTAGTAGTAGTCTATATGATCTTGTTCACAGCCGCATGCCCGCTGCCCTTTATTCTGAAGTTAGTTATGCTATGTAATAGTATATTGTGACTATGTGTTGGACCATGACACTAGAGAGACAAGCTTGTGAATCGTAAATACAATTTATATGGCATGAAGGGGAGGCACAGTGGTTAGTGCTGAGGGCTAGCATTGTGTGTCCGATGAAACACGGAAAGCCAGCAATTGCATTTTTTCTTCACTCAACATACCTGACATGCAACATCACGCTCGGTAACAGGGAATAGGGAGGACGTCCTACCCACCCACTCAGGAGCCTCTCAAATGGCTCCATTTAAAGTTAAAGTCCGTTTAATGTTAAAACTCTCAAAATGTACAAAAAAAGTCAGAATGAGATAATTCCTGAACAACTCACCCTCAGACCACCTGACGGGGAGCACGTTTTATCCTGCGAGGAAGATGAACAACCAGAGGAACGTGATGAAGATGAAGATGCTGAGTCCGAGTCAGAAGAGGAGTCACTGGTGGACGAGCGCCGTCTTCCTCTCTTTTCATTCTTCCTTTCCCTCTCTTGCTGCCCTGGTGAGGAATGAGGGCATGAAGAGGTCTTCTTTACAGTACTTGCTTCCTTGGACAGCTCATGCTCAGCCTTCTGGCTTGATTCATTCTGTGAACCTTCACAGCCTGCCTTGTAGGGGGATGGTACCAGGGTGGTTTCACGTTCTACATTTATGTGTTTATCCTCTTCTGAAGACTTTCTTCGCACAGGTATATCAATCTCTGAGGTTTTCTTGTCTTGGTGATGAGATGCTGAGACAAAAACATCTTGCTTTGATAATTGTGGTGACGTTTGAAATACATGCTCCTCATTTTGAACTAGTTCTTTTGGTTTGCTTGGAGAACGGATGAGAGATGCAGACTGTGGCACTGAACTGTCAGAGAGGGGATGAGGCATTTTTAGTGGCGACGAAGCATCTTTCACGGGATCTCTGAGAAGACGAAACTTCTTGGAAGGGGACTGTGGAAATGAGGGAGTTTTAACAGCAGGTGAATGAGGCTCCACAGACTGATCTGTGGCCCCAGTTTGGGTCTCTTCGCCTTCCATTTGTCCTCCATCATGCTTCAAGGATGGAACACAGCTGTCACTTTCTTTCTCGCTCGTTGCTTTCCCGTCACTCGGCATAGTCTTCAAGCTCTCCTGCTCCTCTGACAAAGCTGCAGTTTCCTTCCCTTTCTCCTTCTTCAATAACTCCTCCCTCTCCAAAGCTTGTTCTCTCTCCTGTCTTTCCTTCTCCAGCCTATCCCTCTCCAAAGCTTCTTCTCGCTCCTTCCTTTCCTTCTCCAGCCTCTCCCTCTCCAAAGCTTGCTCTCTCTCCTGTCTTTCCTTCTCCAGCCTATCCCTCTCTAAAGCTTCTTCTCGCTCCTTCCTTTCCTTCTCCAGCCTCTCCTTCTCCAAAGCTTGCTCTCTCTCCTTCCTTTCCTTTTCCAGCCTCTCCCTCTCCAAAGCTTCTTCTCGCTCCTTCCTTTCCTTCTCCAGCTTCTCCCTCTCCAAAGCTTCTTCTCGCTCCTTCCTTTCCTTCTCCAGCTTCTCCCTCTCCAAAGCTTCTTCTCGCTCCTTCCTTTCCTTCTCCAGCCTCTCCCTCTCCAAAGCTTCTTCTCGCTCCTTCCTTTCCTTCTCCAGCCTCTCCCTCTCCAAAGCTTCTTCTCGCTTCTTCCTTTCCTTCTCCAGCCTCTCCCTCTCCAAAGCTTCTTCTCGCTCCTTCCTTTCCTTCTCCTGCCTCTCCCTCTCCAAAGCTTCTTCTCGCTCCCTCCTTTCCTTCTCCTGCCTCTCCCTCTCCAAAGCTTCTTCTCGCTCCTTCCTTTCCTTCTCCAGCCTCTCCCTCTCCAAAGCTTCTTCTCGCTCCTTCCTTTCCTTCTCCAGCCTCTCCCTCTCCAAAGCTTCTTCTCGCTCCTTCCTTTCCTTCTCCTGCCTCTCCCTCTCCAAAGTTTCTTCTCGCTCCTTCCTTTCCTTCTCCAGCCTCTCCCTCTCCAAAGCTTCTTCTCGCTCCTTCCTTTCCTTCTCCAGCCTCTCCCTCTCCAAAGCTGCTTCTCGCTCCTTCCTTTCCTTCTCCTGCCTCTCCCTCTCCAAAGCTGCTTCTCGCTTCCTTTCCTTCTCCTGCCTCTCCCTCTCCAAAGCTTCTTCTCGCTCCTTCCTTTCCTTCTCCAGCCTTTCCCTCTCCAAAGCTTCTTCTCGCTCCTTCCTTTCCTTCTCCAGCCTCTCCCTCTCCAAAGCTTCTTCTCGCTCCTTCCTTTCCTTCTCCAGCCTCTCCCTCTCCAAAGCTGCTTCTCGCTCCTTCCTTTCCTTTTCCAGCCTCTCCCTCTCCAAAGCTTCTTCTCGCTCCTTCCTTTCCTTCTCCAGCCTCTCCCTCTCCAAAGCTTCTTCTCGCTCCTTCCTTTCCTTCTCCAGCCTCTCCCTCTCCAAAGCTTCTTCTCGCTCCTTCCTTTCCTTCTCCAGCCTCTCCCTCTCCAAAGCTTCTTCTCGCTCCTTCCTTTCCTTCTCCAGCCTCTCCCTCTCCAAAGCTTCTTCTCGCTCCTTCCTTTCCTTCTCCAGCCTCTCCCTCTCCAAAGCTGCTTCTCGCTCCTTCCTTTCCTTCTCCAACCTCTCCCTCTCCAAAGCTGCTTCTCGCTCCTTCCTTTCCTTCTCCAGCCTCTCCCTCTCCAAAGCTTCTTCTCGCTCCTTCCTTTCCTTCTCCAGCCTTTCCCTCTCCAAAGCTTCTTCTCGCTCCTTCCTTTCCTTCTCCAGCCTCTCCCTCTCCAAAGCTGCTTCTCGCTCCTTCCTTTCCTTCTCCAACCTCTCCCTCTCCAAAGCTGCTTCTCGCTCCTTCCTTTCCTTCTCCAGCCTCTCCCTCTCCAAAGCTTCTTCTCGCTCCTTCCTTTCCTTCTCCAGCCTTTCCCTCTCCAAAGCTTGTTCCCTCTCCAGTCTCTCCTTCTCCAGAGCTTGTTCCCTCTCTAGTCTCTGTCTCTCCAAAGCTTGCTGCTTTTCTTCCCTTTCCTGTTGCACAATTCTCTCTCTTTCTTCTGCCTCTCTCTTAAGAGCTTCTTCACTTTGCTGCCTATCACGTCCCAAGGCTCGACGTTTCCTAACATCCCTGACAAGACCTACAGAATCCTGGCTCTGAGGAAAAGTGACTCCTTGTTTGGACATCATTGAGCCAGGATAGGACACATTAGCCATGTGCGTAAAGGCAGATAAATCTCCTTCTGGGTGGCCTCCATCTGGAAATGTGGAGGGAACGTCAGTGCTGTCGTCTTCCTCCTCACAACTACGTCGTCCTACTCCAGAGAAAGCCCCCTCTGACTCCATTTTCTGTGCGAGCAGGGTGAGTGGACGTGGCCTGCGTTCAGTAAAATCATTTGCTGGTTCAGGGCTGCTGCTACGACTACCGCTGCTAGAGCTTCCAGAGCCTGATGTGCTGGACGTGCGCTGTCTAGAAGACATTTCATCTGGACTTGGAGGACTCTGTTTCGGGGTGTCTGGGAGAGGGAAGGAAAGCTCAGGGGGAGGTGAGGGAGGAGGAGTCGGCTGCCTGAGCTGCACGGGAATGTGTGGTGGGGGCTGCTGCAGACGAGAACCCCCAGACTTCTCTCTTGTTGGTTGCCTTCTTGGCAGTTCTGCTCTGTTACTCTGTTGGGCACTCACGCTCCATTCTTCTTCCTCATCATTGTCATCTTCTCCAGCCTCGCTATCCTCATCACTATCAACAGGTACATGACTTGAAGTTGGATGCCTCTCACCCATGACCCTGACGGACCCCGGTGGGCCAAGTGTTGAGGGTGATGGATGTGCATTGCCGTCCCTTACTGTGACACCACGCCCCTCACCAACTGGGGCAACAGGTTTATTCTGGTCAACTAATGCAGGGGCAGAATCCTAGTGGAGAAAGATACATAAAACAATGAATGTGAGATTCAGATTAAAATCTCCTACATTATTATAAAAGCATACAACAATCAACAATCATATAGCTATAATAAAGTCTTGTTCACGTAAGTTTAGTATTTGTAGTCAAAAGAAACAACAAAACAAAGGTTGAACAGATAAAATAGTGAGTCTAACCTCATCTGGTGCAGAAGACGTGTTATCATTCGCCTCCGTATGGTCTTTCTGCTCTGTAAGAGACACATAAGCAGAAAAATTAGCCTATAACATGAATTGTATTGTAATTAACCCAGAACACAATCCATTTAATCCATGGATTGTATTCTGACTCAATCTTAACTAAACCTTGCAAACTTTGCTCTATTTGCATCGATCTACAAACTTGGAGATGTCACATTCACCCAAATTTGTCAGCGTAACCACCCTCCACAAGAAATTCTGCATTAACAGAATGGGAATACACACAGCAAACTCCTCCAGACGTTTCATATCACATCAAATATATGCAGACATGAAACTGTTTGTGTGTCACTACGTATTATGCACGGTGCTCTTCATGCAACGATCTGTTGTTTGCTTGGCAAGAATACAAGTTGGTTAAAATCAATTTCAAAAATAAAAACACTACTGGCAAAATTTGTTGACGATTAGTTGTTTTTTCAATGCTTATGCTTCCCATCTGACGCTGCATGACAATTACAAGGAAATACACGTAAGTGGAGATTCTATGCAGGGCTGTACGCAAGCAAAACAGTATGGAAACATCACTTTAGCATCATCTAAAAAGACTCAACTTTTTTCACCTGCCACAAAAGCATGACTGTCAAGCATGAGTAGAAAACACTGCATCCAAAGCAGAAACTCAGTGGGGTGAGGCTACATTCACACTGCAGCTAAAGGTGGTGGCTTCAGTTCTAATATAGGTCACCTTATGTGGTACTAAAATTCAATACTTGTCTAAGAAGTGTGGTCTCTGTCTAAACAGTCTGACTGGAATTTACTTTCACACCAACCCAGCTCAGCCTTCATCATGATTTCACACGTGCACAAGAACAGACACCAGACAGCAAAAGTCAACAAAATGGCCATTACAAAAGTGATGCGTCGCATCTTTTGTTTTTGAGGACGAATGAGTCCAGCGTGGGCAAAGTAAACAAATAAGGATTGCTTGTTTGCTCGCAAAGAGATGCAAACTCTGTGCCAAAACGGCTATCTATCTATCTATCTAGCGTAGGTACCCCTGTTATCGGCCACCTCAAAACAAAACATTGGGAATCTAAGCTAACTGTAAATAAATTAAGGCACTTTACTCACCCAAATCAATGTTTTTCGGGAGAGATACGTGTGTAGATTAATGTCCAAGAGTCATTTGACATGATGAGAAAACAGTTTTTTCAATAATAACGTTTTTGTTTACTTTGACACTAGTATCGCTAGAATGATGGGGGTCCCCCAATATCGGCCACCTCACTTCTGGTTTTCCGTAACTCATCTTTCAGCCTAGAATTCAGCGTATAAAATTGTAAAAAACATAAAATATATGTATATATTCGTTAGTAAAATGTGATGTTATTGCATTGTTTCATTATCCAACTTGATTTGCTTGTTTAACTAAGTATAGAGCACAGCTCTTTGCTGCGCGCCTGGTTGTGCCAGTCAAATGAGAAATCGTGTTTACGCATCATTCCTACCAGACTCAATGCCTTACAATGAGGTTAAGTTTGTCCTCTGTGGGCACCCTTACGCCATATACGTAACACCATGGCGGCAAACTTACCTCAGAGCAGAGAAAGCTAACCGATATGCTAACTTTCTACACAGACGAATATCCATCGTGGAATGAAAATGGGTTGTGTGTTCCATTTGTACACGCAGAATTACAACGTTATTAGTGATACTTAAATATTGTTTTCAGATATGATTTTTTGCTAGAATAAAGTTTAGATGCCCTTGTAAGGCGCAAGCTTATGTGTTTTGAATTTCGCCTGAGCAATTGGCGGAGAGAGAGAGAGGAATTGCGCAATGCGCGCAAGCGGCCGATTTTGGGGGACGGCTGATGTTAGGGGTAGCTATGTTATATATATATATATATATATATATATATATATATATATATATATATATATATATATATATATATACACACACACACACACACACACACACACACACACATTTTGGCACGGAGTTTGCACAGCAGGAAAATGAAAGCATCTTCCTTCCTTTGAAGCTTTCCTTTCTAAAAACAAGCAATGTTTCTGTAAATTTTGCTGAGCATGGTCATTGGAGTGTCTGCTGTTTCTCCTTCAAGTTTAAAATAACAGATCACACAGCTCATTTCACTGTGACATTAAAAGAGCCTATTAATCTCAAAGAAAATATTTCATCTTTTTACCCACTGCATTTTGTCTTTGCTTGGAAAAAAAGCAATTAGACTTTCAAGGCTGTGCATTACAGTAATTCTACTCCACCTCACGTCGGCCCAACACCACTTAATGGTGGTAAATTCACTGTTACGCACAGCCTCACATACTTACGGCTTTAGAATATCACAAAACAAACCCGTCTAATACAGTATTTTCAGATGAAAAAAAAAAAAAAAAGATGCAATTTTTTTATAAATGTAGTGGTACCTTCAGACCAAGTCCAGGTGTTTTTTTCTCTAAACACTCTAAAACTGCGGGAAGAAGATGGAAGAGGAAGAAGAAATGGATTCTTTGAGTAGTAGCGAGGATGAATGAATGTATTTTTCTTTTAAGACACCAACATACAAGCGACCATCGCAACCAATTCTGAAGGTATTTTCAATGTAAGTGGAAGAACTTGAGGCTTTTCTTCTGCTTGTTGCTCCTCTCGTTAAAATGGAGTGTTCGTTAATGAGAAAAGCTAACAGTTTGTGGTTCTTTGTGGGCATGATCAGACTAGGATACACTTCCGTCAGGGGTCTTTTACTGCCCTGTTGCAGCTCCACAGCAGATTTAGAATTAGATTTGTAGGTAAAAATAAAATAATCCTCCTTTGCAGTAAAATAAAGCTCTGCTGATCGTTCAACACAGTTTTAACAATAAATGGTCTTAAATGCTGGAGTTAATGAAGCCTATATCTGCTAATTCACCCTTTAACCCTGAAGTTTGGAGTGCTGGTCAACATAGAAACGCAGACAACAGTTTCATCTAGCTAGCAGCTAACGAAACAGCAAAGAGATATCTGCAATGAGAATCTGTCAAACACTAAAAACTCACAAAGCTAAAGATGAACGAGACGTTTTACAAGAAACTATTCCACTTTTGCAGAAAAGTTTCCTGCCAGAGATGCGAGAAAAGTGGCTTTAGCTGAGCTGAAAGTTTAAAGCAGAGCAAAGCAAGTCTGTGTTTTTGTTTATATGTTTTAGCCTATACTAGGACATTAGCACACAGACATATTTACAGCCAAGACGGTAAAATGAAAAAAAAAAAAAAGTTGGGGCTCTCAAGGTGGGTTGCTGACGTCCGACCTAGATAAACTATAAAAAAAAGGGGGCTTTGTAGAGTTACTGTAATGTACTAACCATCACTCCCCAGCCCCTCAGCCACAGTCCGCCATATATTTTTTTAACCTCTGCATTTTTCTAAGAGCCATACCGGCATCTTTGCGCGTCATGCATCAGGCACGGTTTTTTGAGCTGCAACCATGACAACAGAGCTCTGATTGGTCAGCCTGACTCTAAACACATCCGCACAATGCAGAAAACCGAGCCGGCTCCAATTTAAAAGAATTACACTGTGCCAAAGTCCATCAGTTTCAGTCTCAGCGTGAAACATGATATTAACCTACGTGTGTTTGATTTTAAAACTTGACGTGTTTTTTTTTCGGCCATAAAATTCAGACTCGGTGGGGAATAAGCCTTAAAGCAGGGGTATTTAATTAAAATTCAGTAACATCCAGTTAGAGAAAATTTTCTCAAGCAAAGGTCCGAACATCATAATGTCTAACTTGCAACATGATTCAGTGCCATATACTGCAGACTGAAGTAGCCTAGTAGGTATAGCAACATCTTATACAGTCAACAACTGAATGTCAAATCAAATAAAGTACAATTCAGTCTTATTTCAACGTTGTCAGTTTTCTCTTTTTAGAATGTCATGTAAAATAACTTCCGACTGCTGTTTCTCACCTTGTCTCTCCACTGTCTGTACATCACTCACTTGAGTCTCAGTGCTCATCGTAATGCACAGATCTTATTGGCTGAGGAGCGTCACGTGTGATATTTACAATGCATACGATTGGTCTGTGAGTTTCCCGGGATGCTAAACCGGTACAGTAAAAATCCTACGCCAATTGCAATAGGACCACCCTGTCGAAATTAAATAATTCTCCAGTTTATCGGTTTTAGGTCCAGGTCCGCATAGGACAGCGCCTGGGTCCGCCTATTAGTGACCTCTGTCTTAAAGGAACCTACATGACACATCTCACGCCTTTCCAAAGCTTTGTCTCTTGCTTCTCTATGACAACCATGTGCTCTAAGCGTCATGACTACAGCTCAGACTTCTCAATTTCTGCTTCAGTTTAAGGATTTCTCTGAAATATTATGACTGCATTTTAATACCAGAGAGCAATTTAGCAGATTAGGGTGTCTGAGCTTCTCACCACCATCCCAATATGTAAATGTGCACTTCACATTTCAAGACACCTTTCACTAGAAAGGTTTCCATCCAAGAGAATTTATGCAACAAAGCTTTAATGATTTGAAAAGTATGATGAATAAGGCGATAGCAATTACCAACACTTGATATTGGTGGATAAATTATTTGTTGATACTTGACTTGTTACAAATATTATAGTGAAAATGTTTGACAGGAAAACTACACTGCAAAACAACTTCCCAGAACTTTCTCATATGCAGTCATATCCCCATAAATATGCCCTACAGCACTAAAAGCATTCAAATTCTGCGGCATCATCTGTAAAAACGAAAAATGCAGGGAAGCCAAACAAAGGAAGATACACACACACACACACACACACACACACAATTTGAAATATACAATAAACTTTCCAATAACTTTATTATTCAATAAAGCAAAGGTCAGCATTTGTTTTCACAGGCATTTTATGGCTATGAAGTGAACTGGATGGAAATGAGCTGTGAGCAACAAAACACTTAAAACTGCTTCAATACAAATCTACAGAAATCTAGCTACTCTATTCTGCGAGGAAGTTACTCACTCTGCAGTGTCTTTAAAGGAAACCAGAGTCATCACCTCAAGCTACTCACAGTTTATCATACATTCCAATGTTTGATGTGTAAAAAATAATTTATAACTAACTTGAAAATAAACTCTTTGAATAAGCTGCACTAGCAACTCTGCTAAACAAGAAGCTGAAGTGACAAAACTGTTAAAAACTCACCATCGGTTTCAATCGCCTCGCGTGCCTCTCTCTCCAGACGCTGCCTCAGAAGTTCCTGTTGCTTTGCAAGGTACTGTTTAATGAAGCTGTTCTGACTCATCTCCTCCCCAATCTGATGCACAGACAGATTAAAAGAGGGTTTAGGTTCACTGATCACTTTTCTCCGAGACAAAGTATAGCTCAGATAAAGCATATATTACTCTGATGACAGCTAGTTTGGCTTACCTGCGAGTTTGGCTGAAGACCAACATGATGGGTCGAGGTTCTCTGCAGGTTCTCCAGCATGAGAGCCTGAAACGATTTCACAGATGTAAATCCAGTTCATCCTTCTACATAACATACATACTTAAATGAAAGCACGAAAGAAAAAAAACGCGCTGCATCCTTTTTACCACACCAAAACAGGCTGTTTGAAATAAGGACAACTTTCATTTCAGAGAAATAAATAATAAAAAGCTGTTTCAAAGGAATCCACTGGCAAGCGCAGCACACTAGGCTGACTCCTTTTTAAGAACGTGAATTTAATTCAACATGCAGATTATCAAGGAAAACACAAATATCTGCATTTACTCACAGACTAGTGAGTTAAAAATAAGTCTGTAATGACTTGCTACTCAAATTAACTCAGCATTCAGCATTAGATCTAAATAAAACTACAAACATCTGGCTACTCATTAGGGATGGCCTGATACCACTTTTTCTTAACCAACGCTGACATTGAAACCTCCAGTATTGCCCAATTAATCCAATATTTTTTCTTTCAAAACTACCATGCATTAAAAAAACAACAAATTGTAATTGAAGCACTTCGATCAAGATCAGCATCTAAAACTAGACCATCATGCTCCCCCTGCTGAAACTATTCAAACACTCTACACAGCTCAAAAATATTTGTTCAGACCACACAGGACCAGACAGCTCAGGTCAAGCTCTGAAGTAATTTCCCAAATATGTTTTGGGCTCAGGTCGGGCCCAGATTCTCACAGCCTGGCTACAGCATTTATTGTTCAATGTTACATTTCCTCAACATTACTAGTTTCCTTTAGTTTATTCTTTCTCTCTACTTTCATTACCTTAAAACTGGGGCACTGGAGTCACTCACTCATACTGACAGAATTAGGCATGTAGGTCCACCAGACCCAGCTCGTGAAAAAATGGACGTGCGAGAAATAAAAACAGAAAATCGACTGAGTAGAGTATTTTGCAATCAGCACACATAGCATGAGAACAGTGCATCATGGAAAGTTTGTACAGACTGGAGAAATGAGACACTGTTTGAGAGCACTGGTGGTGAATAAATCTGGCAAAGTGGATTCCGAACTTCATTTTGGACATCGGTTACAGGTGTACACTCTGCATATCGCCTGGTGCCGCTGGCCACAACATTTCACATTTTTAAAAATTGCATTTAACTGTCATCGCTGCAATAGCTAATGTGATGGTGTGGGGACCGTGTATAGTCTTCGCTGCTGAAATGGCCTGCCTGGTGTCATAGATGCAGCTCCACTAGCTAAATTATGCCAATATTACTCACTAAAATAAAGTCTTAAATAACGTGTTAAATATGTTGGCCTTACACCAAGAGACCCTCACTGCAATAGCTCAGTTTGGATGATGCCAGGGCTGAACAATTTGGGCAAAATATCAAATTGTGATTTTCTGACCAACACTGCAATGGCAATTATTATTTTCTATAAATTAACGCCTGCGCCTTTTTTTGGCCTGAGGACCAGCACGTCCATTTCCTTCTGGCTTGCATCCTGAGCACAGAACAGTGTGGCAGACTGCAAGTTAATTGTGGTTGTGATGTCACAGCACATGGGTGTTTAGTTGCTTCGGATTGGTCTAACTCATCAAGAGACGGTTCACAAGATCCACGTTATTAGGTTAAATCTCCCCTCTTAATATGTAAATGCTAAAACAATATTAGTGATAATGTAGATCATAAAAAATTGCATCTCTTGTAATCTGAAAAATAAACTCAAATGGTGATTTTGATATACAAACAATTCATCTTCCAGCCCATGACAGACCACCTTGGCAAAGGGACCACCATGGTTACCACAGTGGCAATGTCCCTGTTAATGTAATGCAAGGCAATACCTGGTATTTGGAGCATGCTTGTTGATTGTAAATACACTGTTTACACAATAAATGTGTTCCTTTTAATTTGGCCACAAAATTCTTTGGCTTGGTGTAAATTCTTATATCTGTCTAATCCTGGCTGATTATTTTTAATATGCTATCACTTCAACATTAGTTAATTCATCCACGATGATGACAACTATTATTATCACTATGCCATAATTTAACCGGTGCAACTATCAGATATGACAGGCCGGTTTGGGTCAGTTTTGGGACTCAAGACATGATGATGTAGCTCAGTTTGGGCTCAGATAGGAAATTCTCAGGCTGCTTTCTGGTTCAGAGCAGAATTTCAAGCCCAGTAAAAGCTCTAACGTTGTACTACCCCACATAAAGGAATACATAGCCTAACTAACATGACAATATTTATCGTTATTGTGATACATTACATGAAAATATACCACAATAAGCTTGTCTGAGCATATTGTGGATATTATTGGTACTTAAAAATCACTTTCCAACACCATGTTCGATTAAAAAGAGAGCAAGTTCAGTCCTAATTAATTGGATTTAGCGCAGTACGGCGTGTGAAATGTTGAATACAAGCAACTGGTTATCATAGTTTCATAGTTTCTACAGCATTTTTAACATGTGGAATTACTTTGTCTGTTCTAACTTCAGAAAAAAAATTGTGACACAAAACTTCTAGAAGTATTGTGATGTTACATTTTGCTTTATTGCCCAGCTCTACATAACTGTGTTATTTTAGATTGGATTTATTAAAAAAAAATTGTAATGGATTCCTTTTTTCTCTCCAATGTCCGATCCAGCATTTTCTGCTGGTATCGACCGATATACCGATATCGATACTCTCTGAACTCTCTACTCCACATTCATCAAAACAGAAAACAGAGCACTCTCCGCCCATGCAAGGCAACTGCTGCGCGCCTCCTGTTTACAGCGCTCGATCCCAAACACTGAAAGGCCGCTAACCCGCAGAGACCGAAACTAAAAAATGGTGAGCACTGATTTGGTGGTGGAGGAGGGAGCTTTGAAATCCCTTTCTACTTATTCCTAAACGCGTCTCCGTTTCATAAAACCAGAACCCCCCACCCTCCGAAACGCCTCATGCACACAAAGCGCAGAGCCGCCGACAACTTGGAAAACTAGCTAACTAACGCTAGCCAGGGACGACCAACAGCTGGCTGGAAGGGTTTAGCAGGTTTAGGAGGCACACAGGCGCTCGGCACGCTTCTCTGCGCCTCCTCGACCCCCTCGGTTCCGACTACAACCGCGTGGCACAAAACCAAACACGACTTTCGATAAAAGAGGGACAAAGTTGGTTTCTTATTCGAATTTTCCGTTCCACCTTAAACGGTGCGGCAGTTTCATTCTGGCGCCGACGGCCGCCGAACGTAACCGCCGCACCATTTAAGGTGGAACGGAAAATTCAAACGAAAAAGCTGGCGAACTTCGGCTTTTCTCGACCATCGTCTGAATTCCCAAACAACATGGATGGGAAAAGAGACGGAAAAAGCGGCGACAAACTACACAGTAACCCCGCAGCCCCAGCTCAGCTAAGCTAGCTCCCCCAAACCACAGCAAACACTCGGCCTCGCATCATCATCGCGGTCTCCGAGCCTCTCCGCCACAAACTGAGTCTCAGACTGACCCCTTTGAGCCGCTTGATGAGGGCATTCTTCTGTCCGCTCTTCGACAGCCCTCTCTCCTCCAAGGCTGCTTTCAAATCCGCCACTCGGAGGGAATGAAGCGGTCTCCCGTCCAGCGTAACGTCTTCGAGGTCCGCCATGTTGAAGCGCCGCTCTTCCTCCGTTCTCTGGCGCGTGGAAGCGCAACGCCCTCTCGCGCTGACGTCAGAGCAGCGCGAGCAGCCTTTCCGGAACAACAAAGTCAGCGGGAGCAAAGCGGCGAGCTGGCGAATAAAAGACGATTTATACTCGAGCGGGCTCGTGTTTGTGTTGAATTTAGTCATTCAAGAGTTTGAAATAAACATCTTTACGTTTTTGAGGAACAGATTAAGGGTCGCGGGGGTCTTTTTTTTAACCAAAAAGCGCGGATGTGTTCTCGAGCTGGTGCTTATAAAAATCTCATAGACGAGATTTTCTCTTCAGCTCATGTTAAAAGGGGAAATCCAGCTTTTTGTTTCAAATATTCTTCATAATTAGATGTTTGAGATGTAAACAAAACCATTCGGAGCGGTTTGGTGTGAAATGCTCCGTTCTTGAGAAACTTACCGAATAAAAATTGTTCACAGTGGTGGTGATAGGAACCAGACGTCTGAAGAGTTTTAATGCCGCTAAAAGCTACAATACAGAAGGTTATCACATGAAATGTTCATAAATACACTTCCTGATGTCTTTGTTTTATGATAGTTTTAAGATAAGCATTTAGCCTCAAGCTGTTTTTTTCATTCATTCATGGTGGAGGGGTTCGTGCAGGGTGTTTTGAGGCAAAATAATCCCAAACGGAAACTAATTTTTCCAGTTTTAACAGTGTTTCACCATCAACATTACATATAAAAGCTCAGAAAACACGTGAACGTTCACTGGTGGTTTTGGATAGTAAATAAAATGGCTATATTTGCTGTGTAAACATTGTGACCCCTGGTTCCTATCACCACAACTGTAAATAAAACTTAGTGGGTAAGTTTCTCTACAGTGAACCATTACACATCAAACCACGCTGAGTGAGTTTGTTTACATCTCCACGGCTGAATTATGCAGAAATTTTGAAAAAGCAGTGGAATCCCTCTTTAAAGGGCACATATCCTTAGTTATCCCAAGTTAACAACAAAAAAAAACTCCAGCATGATGGGCGGGGCTAAACTGCTGTAGACTGAATAAGCAGATTTATGTAAATAAATGGATTTTGTGACATCACACAAATAATTAATTTACAAATGGAACAGGAATTTATAGAAATTTAAAGAAACTTAACGACTCTGATTCCTTTACCGTGGTGGTGATAGGAACCAGGGGTTGCCATGTCTACAACACAAATATTCATAACCATTTATTTACTATCCAAAAATGCTCGGTGAGCCTACATGTGTCTTCTGAGTTTTTGTATGTAATCCTGATAGTAGTGAAATAGTGATAAATCTGGCAACATATCCGTAATTGTGATGTAGCTTTCAGAGCAGCGGTCTCCAACCCTCCTCCTGGAGAGTTCAGTACAACCTCCATCTAACTTTCTGCCCCTCCCCCATACCTACACTAAAGCATCTGATCCAGCCAATCAAGGACTTCTGGACACGTTAATTAGCTGGAGTAGGCGCGGTCGATAGTGGTTCGAACTACAGTCCACAGGAAGGTAGATTTCCAGGACCAGGTTTAGTGACCACTTTTAGAGGCTTTAAACCCTTAAAGACGTCTAGTTCCTATCACCGCTGCTGCGAACGATTCAGTAAAGTATATCTAAACGGAACATTTCACACCCAACCACTTTGAATGACCTCTTAACCATTTAATTATGCAGAAATGTTGAAAATTTGGTGGAAGTCCCCTTTAAGCGCTGGTCGTGCTGATCGCGCGTCGGCCGCTAGGGAGAGGTATTGGCCCGACACGCCGGAAACTCTTCTACGGAGGAAGCAGAGCAGCTCTTTCCTCCGCCTCACAACATGGAGGGTCTGTTTTAGTGGAAACAATAAAAACAGCACAACCTGTGAAACTAAGACAGATATCGAAGTGTGAACTTCTCTTCCAGCGGCCTGAGGACGAAGCTGAGGGCGGTTCTGCAGATTATGCGGGTCACAGAGACGCCGCTTTTTCTGTAGACATCGTGAAGACCGTCGTCAGGTAAACATTGTAACGGACAGTTTCTCTTTTTAGGGAACAAAGTCATTATTTTTGTGTTCAATAATGTTTGTTTTCTCTCAGAAAAGGAACAAACAGCCAAATATGTGTTCTTTATAATTTTAATAACATTGCCCAGCAAATATATCATTAAGAGTCTGCTCATTTGGTATTAATGCATTATGTAGGTAAACTGCAATACTACAGAAATCCCTATAAATCTCTTATAGCTAAGTAAATTCTGGCAGTTCACTATTGTTCACTCACTGGTCACTTTATTAGGCACCCTACCTTGTCTCTACACTCTTTGTCCATTTAATCAGCTCCACGTACCATAAAGGAGCTCTTTGTAGTTCTACAGTTACAGACTGTAGTCCATCTGTTTCTCTGCATACTTTGTTAGCCCCCTACGGAGCCCCGCTGGCGACATCCTGTATAAATAAAAATAATGCGTGGCCACGCCTTATTAACGAGTGGGAACAAGATCCTAATGCGTGACCACGACTTAATAAGGCGTGGGAACAAGATCACGGCTTACTAAGTCGTGGCCACACATTAGGATCTCATTCCCATGCCTTACTAAGTCGTGGCCACGCATTATTTTTATTTATGCAGGATGTCACCAGCGGGGCTCCGTAGCCCCCTTTTAGCCTGTTCTTCAATGGTCAGGACCCCCATGGACCCTCACAGAGCAGGTATCATTTGGGTGCTGGATCATTCTCAGCACTGCAGTAACACTGACGTGGTGGTGGTGTGTTAGTGTGTGTTGCGCTGGTACGAGTGGATCAGACACAGCAGTGCTGCTGGAGTTTGTAAACACTGTGTCCACTCACTGTCCACTCCATTAGACACTGCTACCTTGCTGGTCCTCCTTGTGGATGTAAAGTCAGAGACTGTAGCTCATCAGTTGCTGCACAGTTTATGTTGGTCATCATCTAGTTGAGGGCTGCCCAAAGTTGGCCTAAATTAACCTTTTTCTTTTGGATGCCCCATTTTGAGAATTTATAAAAGAATATAAGATGTAGAAATAAGAACTGAGCCCACTTGGGTTTACATTGTAGAGAAATGTAACGTTTATTTGTGCAGTGAATACAAATAATACAAATAAATAATTAAAATGCTGACATTTTAGTAACCCGGCATCAATTAAATGTTCTGTTCCAGAGTACAATAAATATGTCAGATATCAGTTTGGAGTGCAAAAACATTTGACTAATACAGATATGAGTTTAATATTATCATGCATCCCTGTTATTCTACAAACCTCAGTTCCAAAAAAGTTGTGACAGAATGTGAAATGCAAATAGAAACAGGAGGCAGCAAACTGTAAATCCAGTTTTATGTAACTATACGTTCAATCTGTAGTTGGTGCCTGCAGCACATTCCCAAAAGTTGGGACCAGGACAGTTTAATCAGTATAATTAAATTAATTATGTTACCACAGGGGCTCGGGAATACTTCACAAATCGTTGTAAAGAAACACAGTTCATCGCTGCATCTGTACAACAGAAGCCATGTCAACAACATGGACTGATGCGCTGTGGAAACGTGTATTGTAGTTTGACGAATCAACCTTTTAGTTGTAGGGCTGGGTGATAAAACGATAACGATAAGTATCGCGATATAACTTTTCCTCGATAGAGCGATAAGACAGGTTTGATAAATGTTCGATATAATACACCATTCTCACACTTCCACGTTTCAGCGAAAGCCCTGGTGGCGTTTTCTACTGCAAGGAAAGCGACACTACTCTGCTGTTGCCAGGAGAGGGCGCACTTTCCGAGTTTTTCGACTTGATTAGAGAGGGAGGGGGCCACGAGTAAAAAAAGGGTCGCCAAATATACTTTAGCAACGGCTGAAACGCGGAGTTATACAGTCCCTGTTTGAGTGGAGCAGCCGGCGATCTGTTCTCCTGTGACCGAGTGTGAGTGACGAGGTCAGTGGTGTAACTGTACTGTCCTACAGTGAACTCACCTCTTTACTAACATCCTAACAACTTTAGTGGTGTTAAATCACGTCTGCAGCGCCGTGTTACAGCGCCAAACCGTCATATTTTAGTATTAGTGCATTCTCGAGCAACGAAAGTGAAAGAAAGAAGTGGGTTCATGTTCGAAAGTAAACTGAGGAAGCTGTGAGGCATTGGAGAGCGGGAGAGCGCTATCTCTCCAGGCTAGCTGTTTTTAGCTGCTGGCTAACTTGAAGCAGCGCTCCGGCAAAACACGGTGAATTAATGATACGGTAGATCAAACAAGACACAAAATCACCGCTTTCAGTTTAAACATGCCTAAAAGGAGGACTTGTCTGGTGTGAGAGATTCACACTGCAGATAATGCTTTTACACAGCGAGCGTCAGATATACTGCGGTTCACCCCTTAAACTACTACGATAGCATAGAGAAATCCAGTCGTCGCTAGCTGGTGTCTGAATACTGTGATCTGCTCTGACATGGATGTGGTAGGAGTGACCGCAGTGACCTACCGAACCGAGCTGACGATATTGAGAAACTAAAGAGTTTAGCACTGTTGTTGGCCACTTGTTTAGCATTTGTAACGGGGTAGCCGAGCGCTCGTCACCAGACAGCTAAAAATAATGTGTTTTTTTTCTTAAATCATGACTATTACAAAAATTGCAGCTGTGCTTTTCAAGCTGATAAAAACAGCTCAGAAACCTTCTGCCACTGTCCCAAGACAGATTAGTGAAATGTTCCACTGTTTGCCGAGTGTTTGTCATGATCGGACCATAAGTGATAGTTTACAACCACAATTAACCACCCAGGAGCAAAATCAGCCTTCAAACATGAAAGAAATAATGATTTGACATTTATCGCGATGTGTATCAATATCGAACGATATGAATTTTGTTTATCGTGATAACGTTTTTGGCCATATCGCCCAGCTCTATTTAGTTGTATCTGGAAATAATGTACGCTGTGTTCTCTGGGCCACAGAAGAAAACGGGCCATCCAGACTGTTACCAGTGTAAAGTTCCAAAGTCAGCGTCTGTCATGGTATGGGGAGTATTAGGGTCCATGTCATGGGTAACTTGCACATCTGTGAAATCACATGACCACTGAAGGATATACATTTTGGAGTGCTTATGCTGCCTTCTACACAACATCTTTTTCAGGGATATCTATGCTTATTTCAACACCAAGACACATTCCGCACTTGTTACAACAGCATGGGCTGTGTTGTCAGGGAGTGGGTGCTAGACTGCTCTACCTGCTGTCCAGACCCGTCAAGTATTGTGTTTTTGTACTGTTTTCAATTAAATATAGGTCAAAATGAATTTACTAATCTTTAGTAAAGAATTTACTGCTTTTTGCATTTCAAATACACATATGTCTCACCTTGTCAGGAATTGAGGTTTGTTTGTCGCTGCTGTTGGAACACGCTGTATCTCCATTTTTTGCCATTTTTTGACATAATTTGAAACTGCCTGTTGCCCTTTACATTGGTGTAAATTTCATGATGAATGGACCGAAAGAAATGGCCAACGGTTACTTGGGAAAAAAAGTCTGGTTACATTGACTTACATTAAAAGTAAAATTGTCATTTTGGAGATAAAAGGTTTTGTTCCAACAGCAGCGACATGTAACTTTTAAAATTCTCAGTGTCCTTATAAAGCGCTACTTTTTATAAAATGAGAGAGTTGCTTTTTGTCCTTGGGCCCTGCAAGACAAACAGAGGACACTGTTGGCTGGATATTTTTGGTTAGTGGTCTATTATCAGTCCAGTAGTGACACTGAGGTGTTTAAAAACACGGCAGTGCTCAGAATGATCCAACACACAAATAATATCTGCTCTGTGGTGGTCCTGATCACTGAAGAACAGAGTGAAAGGGGGCTAACAAAGTATGCAGAGAAACAGATGGACTACAATCTGTAAAGCCATGTTTGAGGATGTGTTAACTTGTATTCGTTTAGCCAATAAACAAAACATGTCATTTGACCAGGGGTCAAATTTGAGATTTACAAAGCATGATGTGATAAATGATTGTCAACTGACCTAAAGAAAGGGACCCAATTAACCGTTGCTTCTTATTAGATGTAATCAGTTGAACACTTGGTAGATCAGAGTGTCTAAAATGCTGCACTTCTGCTTGTCTTAGAAAATGGCCTGGTTCCATCACGCCCTGCAAGAGGCAAGCCAGCAACAGCCGTCTTCCATGAAGAATTTTATGGCGAATAATCACACATTCCTCGAATCAAACCTCAGCGCAGCGGTACCAGCAGCTTCATCCGAGGGTCCGAGCCTGCTTCCGTCCTCCATTACAGACTTCCCTCGTGTTTCACAGGATGTGGTGCCCCCAAGCCTGGGAGAGCTATCATGTACCTCTTCTCTCACCATGAGGGGGAGCCATGATGCTCTTCCTCTGTCTTACGTGACTCTCCAGGAACAGAGATGTGTATTAAGCTGGTTTCTAGGCTGGGGTCCTCCGCAAAGAGAGCGCTTTTTACAAGACCTGGTGTCAAAGGCGGTACCAGGAAAAGTTAGTAGCTTATTGGACCAGCTCAATACACTCCAGGTGATTTTTACATGCATCATTTCATTTCATCACTTCATATCAATGACCTAAAGTAAGTGCTACCCTTCACAGATCTTCATGGAACCACTGCATAGGATTTTGTCAAAGGCACTCAAAGATAATGTGAGGAAGTTTGGAACTAGTAGTGTAGTAAGTGATTTTTATGCAACGATTCAGCACTCGGTGGCCCCACTCTGTGGTTTTGAGTGCTGTTTCCTCTTCTTGGCTAAGCTGTTGTTGCTACTAGATGTTTCCAACTCACAATAATAGCACTTACAGTTGACTAGGGCAGCTCTGTCTGGGCAAAAATTTAACAAACTGGCTTGTGGCTAAGGTGGCATCCTGTGACAGTGCCACATTTAAATTCATTGCGCTCCTCAGTACGACCCATTCCACTGCCAAGGTTTCTCTATGGAGACTGCATGGCGATGTGCTAGTTTTATACAGCTGTTAGCAATGAGTGTGGCTGAAACACCTGAACTCAATAATTATGAGTGCGCATACACTTTTGGCCATACAGTGTATTAACAATAACTATCTAAAGGCCACTGCTTATGAAATTTGTTGTAGGTTAGGTTACAGTTTTTGTGGCTTGACAAAAAAGACAAAGCTTCAAATATTAGAGAAACAAATACCAACATAACCAAAATATTCTTAAGTATTCAAATTATCTTAGCCCTATTGTTTAGTTGTGGTGCCATCTGGTTATCACTCCGTGTTTCTCTCTGCATTCCAGGTAAAAGACCGCCCGCCCAACATTTTCGAGTGCCAGTTGAGGCTGTGGACTCAGTGGTTCGAGACATGGAGTGAAGAGGAAAGAAATGCTTTCTTGAACAGCCTGGAAGAGAAAGATCCAACCTTTGTTTCCCATTTCTACAGAGGACTGGCTAGTACTGCCGGAAGAGACTGATGGCCTCTGTAACAGGGTCGTCTATTTGTATATTGTAACACAAAAATGATGGAAAAGATGCAGAGAAAGGCTTTCAGGTTGTTGGCAAACTTGAGAGTTAGTGAAAGACTTCAATAAAAGGTTCCAGTCTCAGCCTACTTGCCAGTATTAACCTGTTAATGCCAGAACTTTAGCTACAACATAAGCTTTTAGGGGGTTTTGGTGGACAGCACAGGTGGACGACTCACTCAATTAAAGGGTGATCATACTAATCACGGAGATGTTAACAAAGGCATCTGTTCCACTGTGGAGCCAAATAGCTCCCAGGCCTGTACTGTGCTATTCCACGCTGGTTCAAACTCGTGAGGCCGGTTACGGGTTTGTTTCCATCTGCTGTGCTGCTAAATGCTGCAGAACACATTAGATTCTGGCTGTCAGACCAACAACAGTCACTCGATTTTGTGCACTCTGAGTCTTTATCCTCTAAACAGGTATTATTTGAGCATGTGTTAGCTGGAACCGAGCTTGTGGAACATTTAGCCTGCTAACTAACGCTACACTATTGTTAGCCTACTCACTTTTTGAATCTGTTTGCCACAGAGCCAGTTAGCATTAGCCCAGCTAAGAAGCTACAGATCCAACCACCACAGAGCAGCAGCTTTAATTTTGGCTTTCTATCCCTCCAACACCAGAATCAGAACTTAACCTGGTAAACCGAAAAGCTGATAGCTTGCTAGTTAAGCTAATGCTAACCAACTTGACTCTCCTAGTTAGCAATATTAATTAATGATTGGTGCTAGATTGATTGTGACATTTATCGAATGGTTGTTTGAAAGTCGTGCACAGCTTTCATTTATTCAGTGACTCTGAAAGCAAACTGAACTTATTTGAGTGTTGTTGGGGTTTCGGTTGGATGCAGCTAGAACCAGTTAGCTAATAGCTACGCCATTACATCATCCTACCAGATGGTTCTGTGGCCCTGAGCACGGCTAGCTAACTGTATCGAGAAAACCACACCGAGCACGGTTTGTAAGTGTTCCGTGTCGAACCATGTCTGCGTGGAAATGCCACTGGAACGGTTACTCTGTGATCAGAACCATTTGAAAAGAGGCGAAAGTCATGCAGAGTGGTTTGGTGTGAAATGATTTATTATAGAAATCCTACTGACTCCAAACGATGTATCAGGCAACACATTCAAAACCATTTCATGTAGTAACTTTCTATTAGGGGGCTTTTAGAGCCGTTAAACACTTAAGACGTCTGGTTCCTATCACCACCACTGTGAACAGTTCTGACTCTTGCATGGCGCATTTCACATCAAACCACTCTGAACGACTTTGTTTACTTCCTAACAGTTTGATTATACAGAGAAATTGGTGGAATTTAATATGATTTAGGCATGTTAGCTGTTGGGTTGTTTGAGATGGTGGTGTTGAATGTCCATCCTTCTGGAGCTAGAGGCTCGTAATGTGTTACAGGAAAACATATTGGTATCCCATTACCTCAGTGACTTCTGTCAGCCTGTGCACTGTTTACTCTCGCTTTAAAGGAATACCCCAGTATTTTTCAACCTTACTATATTGGCTTCTGTTACATATTTTACATAACAGATGCCAGTGTTATATTCAACATACTTCCTATCATTTCATTACATCGAAATTGCTGTTTGTAATAATCAGCCATGTGCTACAGTGGTGTCAGAATGTGTTTAGGTTAAAACATGCTGGAGGATTCCTTTAATAAGAGTGAACATTTTGCTGTAAAGAAGACTGACCAAGGGTTCTTTCTGCCTGCTCAGTGAGACTTGATCTCAACAGTTATTTAAATTTCTCATTTATTACTTTATAAACACAATGTATCCATTTGTATTTTTGTTCTTTTTTATGATGAGTGAACACATTTTCTTAGAAGTTGATCAAGACTGATTGCACAGTACTGTGACAATAAAGTCCAAATCTTTGTTGTACGTCTATGTATCCTCTGTGGTTTAAAGATGGAAATCGGATTAAAGCACAGAATGTCAGCTTTTTGTGGATTTATTTTTGGGAGTTTCTTTGCTGTGGTTTTGGAATTATAGTGCTTAAGTCAAAGCCCTCATTTTTAAGTGAGTATAAATATTTGGACAGAGTAAAAAGTGCATATTATTCTTAATATTATTCTTTTTTTCTTTCATTCTTGGTTACTTGTCTGAATGCAGTAATAATACAACATTGAGTCTTCAATCCACTGCAGACTTTCCGTCTTCTTCTTTGAGAGCAAGCACTGTAAGGGGGTTTCTGATTTGAGTCTCCTTTACGTCAAATGGATTGTCCAGTACTGGGCCAAAGCCAGAGGCCAGTCAAAACATCCATGATATACAAGTTCTTAATTCTTTAGGAGACTAGATATAAGATATTCCACTTGCATAAGGAAGAGGAAAGTCAAAGGAAAATAAGTGAAAAAACAGAAAACCTAACCACCAAACTCTCACCATCAGCATTTAAAGCTTTCATCTTTGAGAGAGAGGAGAAAATCAAACTCCACTCTTGCTTCAGATCTGAAAAACCCACAGGCGTCTCTGTACATCCTTCCACTGTGAGAAGACAACTCAACGCTATGGGTCTGAAGGCCTCACTGAGAATAAGAGATAATAGAAAATTTGTAAATCAAACAACGAAGTGTTCTCAGAACAATGGACTGACCACACCATCCAGAGAGAGTCCAGACCTCAACATCATTGAATGTGTTTGGGATTTCTTGGATTGGGAGAAGCAGGAAACACTACCAACTTATAAGACTGTACTTTGGAGGTGTGGAAACACATCTGCTAAAATTTAAAAGAATGAGCAAATAAAAATGTGTTGTGCAGCTACAGTTTAGTTCATCTTTGCATCTATCTGGCACGACCCATTTGGGTGAACTGACTGACCAAGCCACTGGAATCTCCCAGTCCTCCCAATGGACAGTCCGGGCCTGTAACGAGCTCGTAATGAATGGCTATTGTTAGTAGGACAGACAATACAGTATCAGTCATTACCTTCCACTCAACTCACACTTTGCTTACTTTGCTTGCTTGTGGACACTGCATGCCTTATCATGTGTTGCCATGGAGACCGGGTGGGCAGAACTTGGTGCAGCATGACTTTCCATTGGCTGAACTGGCTGTAGGCTGAACTTGAGGGGTGTTCACCAGACACTTCACTTCATGCGTACACTTTAGAACATAGTACAACTATGCTCGGTTTCCCTATAAAAATAGATAATGATTTTTAAAATCTAAGCCGGAATGCTGTTCCGTCCTGACTTTGACTCCCGGAACAGGGTTCTGTTCCATTACGGCCCATTTCCACCCCCGACTACTACATAGCAAATTATGCATAGACTACAATCTGTAATCGTAGAACTACAAAGTGCACCAATCGGGTAAGTGGAGCTGATAAAATGGACAAAGAGTGTCGAAACAAGGTCAGTTTACCTAATTAAGTGACCAGTGAGCAAAGATGCACTGTGTAGAATTACAGTTACCGTTACTTCACAACTTATCAGCCACCCTCTAGGCCTGGGTGTCTAACCTTATCAGCAAATGGCCGCTGTGGCTGTAGGTGTTCAATCCAAACAGGCACGAGCACACGCCCGCTATAGGTGGAACATTGAATTGTCTTGGACCTCAGTGTTGCCAAGGGGCCTCTGTGTTACCGGCGAGCTTGTGATGGTGAGAACTTTGGGCCTTCTTTTGGCCACGCTGCACACGTTTCTTAGGTTACATCACAGTTCATAAGGCAATGTTAGGCTTTTTTGAGATGTCACAAAATTTCAGATTGTTGGTCATCCTCTAGTCCTTCATCAGTGGTCATAGGACGCTGCTCACAGGATGCTGTTGGCTGGATATTTTTGGTTGGTGGACTATTCTCAGTCCAGCAGACACATGAGGTCACTGTAGTGCTGAGAATGATCCGCTACCCAAATAGTACCTGCTCTGTGAGGGTCCATAGGGGTCCTGACCACTGAAGAACAGGGTAAAAGGGGGGTAACAAAGTATGCAGAGAAACAGATGGACTACAGTCTGTAATTGTAGAACTACAAAGTGCACCTATATAGTAAGTGGAGCTGATAAAATGGACAAAGAGTGTAGAAACAAGGAGGTGGTCATAATGTTACGCCTGATCAGTGTATATATAGTTGCATTATAACTTCTACAAACACTCAAATGTATAATGAATCACAAGACTGACAGTGATGTACATTTATTTTAGATAGTGTAGATAGTTTAGCTTGTGTTACATCTGACCTACTTGACCAGCCAAGAGTAAACCTTTCTGTCAGCAAATACCACTTTACTTTTTAGAGGTGACCTTTTGTCCAGATACCACATCATCTTTTGCAACGTGGAGATTGCACTATAAACAAAGTGTAGTTTGTAAACAACTGAACAGTGACACAATCCAGCTGGTTTAGCTTTGTAGTCAAGCACATTGGATTATAATGCAACAGTGGATGAAACGGGTAATATTAAACAGAAATAATTCAAGGTATTTTTTTTATCTATATTGGTTGAACTATATAAAACTCCATATGTGCTGCTCACTGCTCCATATGAGGGGACCTTTGCTGATTGTACAGATTAACATAATCTTATCCACCTTATTCTGTGCCCTGCAATGCTTTAAGTGGTTTATGGACAGAACAGATAGCAAGCATATATCACTTCACTGGCTTAATAAGACTGGCACTTCTGGTCCACCTCGGACCACCCAGATTACTGGCCTACACGCAAGGTCTAACTGGTTTTTAAACTCATCAAACAGATTTTAAATGCACACAGCTTTATTTTTTTTTATTTTGGTAAACAGACTAAGACAATAATCATAAAAAATTAAAATGAAATGAGAAAAAAACGACTATATAAACAGATTTAGTTAAAAATGTTGTTGACACTGTGCTAGGTTGGTTACAGCTGTATTACTGGCTCGATTTTTTTTAAGGTAAAAATCTGATGCGCACCAGATACTTTCAGGCAGTGGTGGACGAAGTACACAAATCATGTACTTGAGTTAAAGTAGAGGTACCGAAGGTAAAATATTACTCCAGTAAAAGTAGAAGTTCCTCCCTTTCGACCTCCACTTGAGTAAAAGTACAAAAGTATTTGCCTTCAAATGTACTTAAGTATCGAAAGTGAAAGTACTGAAAGATTAATTATGACTTTAATGTCCTGTTATCACTTTTGTAACAAGACTCTGCTTCATTAACTCATTTTAGGTGAAAATACTCCAGTGTCACTCTTGGTAATCCAGTCTTTTAATAGAATGTCATTAGTTAGTCTGATGCTGATGTCTATTAAAATTATCATAAACAGAAAACACTGAAGGCAAACAGTTTCCATTAGGTAGAACTGAGTGGCTCTGAAATAACTTTTCGCAAACTAGCAAAGTTTCGGTTTAAGATTTATTTGCAGATTAGTTACAAGTTTAAGTTTAATAAAAACTTTAATCGCAGGTTCACAAATGAGTTTTCCTTTACTAAACTGCATCTGTAGGTCTCTGTTCATAAACTAGCCAAAACAAATTTACTATAAACTGAAAAAGTGTATAAATTCAGAAAAAAGACACGTCAGTCACAACTGCATATGTACATATTTCTATATTTGTCTATTCTATATTTGTCTATTTTGTCTATTTACACAAAGTTAGCTTAGTTCCATTATTTATGTTGAACAGACTCTCCCAAATTTTTACACTGATGCACTGATGTTGAACCGAATGCTTGCACTGGGTCGGTATGTCCAACAGGTCAAAACAAGCTCAAAACAAAGTGCGTGCTGTGCCCTGATTGGTGTTCTTGCTTTGCGCTTCTTTTCGTTTTGATATGTTATGTTTTTATACACAAACAAGCCAAAAGGAACAACAGATTTCTCATAATGTAGTGGAGTAAATGTAAGATATTTGACTTTGAAATGTGGTGGAGTGAAAGTAAAAAGTCGCACAAAATGGAAATACTTCAGTAAAGTACAGATACACAAAAAAACTACTTAAGTACAGTAACCAATTACATTTACTTAGTTACTGTCCACCACTGCTTTCAGGTGCACACCAGTTACAGCTGCGCAACTGGCTTGCTTTATGATATTGTTGTTAAAATTAATTACGAAACTAATTTACAAAGGATAATGCAGAGCCCCTAAAGGGACGTGTTGTAATTTTTTTTTTTTTCACTGGATAGTATCTGGTGTGCACCACATAGTACTGGGTGTTCAACCACATGGTATCTGGTGCTCACCAATTTTTTTTGGAAAAAAAAAAACACCATGTCCCTTCAGTGGCTCCACGATATGCTTCGTAAATTATTTTAGTAATTAATTTTAATAACAATATCATAAAGAAAGCCGGTTGTACAGCTGTAACTGGTCTGCACCTGAAAGTATCTGGTGCGCACCAGATTTTTACCTAAAAAAAAAAGTCCCATCAGGGGCTCCATAGAATAACGAAAGAAAAAAATAAAGGAAAAATAAGCACAGTGGACAGTGAGCGATTGAAAGTGGTATTTTGTCCGATACTGTGCTTTCAAACTCCTTTAATTTAAAAAAAAAAGGGATGAAATTTTCCACGATATGTGCCCCTTAATTTGTTTTCAGTCCGTTTAACGAACAGAAGCCAAGTTCAGATTTTTTGTATGAGTCAATCCGAGGATACTACAGAGCACATGAAATTAAGGTTGCAAGTCTTGTTTGTATCACATATATTACGTAAGCGGGGTCGTTCTGTTGATCTTCCCTGTTCGCGGAGCTGCAGGCTGTCAGACAGCGAGCAGCAGCAGGAAGGTTCAGAGACGAGCTGAGATCTCTACTCAACAGTTTTCCGAGGAACTGAGACGGTAAGACGGCGCCATAGTCAGGCTCTTCAGTCACTGTTGGATCTACGTGCAGTGCAGCTTGGCGAGGTAACGTTACGCTTCTCCACAGAAACTGTCGTAGCCAGCGGTCGCTCAGCTAACTAACTCACTGACCGTGCTCGGACTGCTCTTCGCGTTTCGGTTGTGAGGCCAGACGAG